GAATCCCTTTGCCCACAATAATTCTTACCATACTCCAGTAGCATAATAGGTCCTCAATCTTCACAATACAGTCCTTCCTTTCTGCCCTAGCAGTCGCCAGAGGCCGAGGAGCCACTTCCTCCAGCAGAAGGAAATTCTGAATAGAATAGATTATTAGTTTCCATGGACATGGATCAACACCCTCTCGGTGTAAATATTTACCTGAATCCTCCTAATGCTGATGAGAGACTCGGAGACCTTCTCTATGGCGAAGGGAAAGAAGAGCGTGATGGTGAGTCTGACCGCCCCGTACAGGGAAACAGTCATAAACACTCTGCTAGCAGACAGCTGGTTTCCAGTCAGCACGTAGACGCAGACGGTGATGAAGACGATGATCTTGCCGGCCACAAAGAAGGACGCCATGTTCAGGCCACGCAGGTAAGAGCTTTTCATGATCTTGGAGATTTCCGTTCTGTGCAAGAACAAGACGCGGTGTCATAAAACGCAGCTTATACAAACAACGGCAGCAAGCAGGTGGGTTTGTTTTCGTACACGCGTACGATTTAGGGAGTAACTAAGAATAAATGTGTGTTTTTGTTTGGAATGAGCCCATCTAGGGGGCTGGTCCTCTTCCACGAAGAGTCCACCATGTCGCACCGCCGTGTTTCTGCAGTGGCCCAGGACGGACACACCACAACACAATCGCAATTTCCCATCACCTGAAGGCCAGTGTCCCCCCGTCGCACATGGAAGGGGAGGGGGTGAGAGAGGGACATTCAGTTGGTTGCAATCTGCGGCGGAGTCCTACACACTGCTCCTTTTAATGAGAGGATACTGCAGAGACGTGTTAATAGATTTCAATGGAATGTGGTGGAAGGGAGCGCAGGTTGGTTTATGCTGTACCTTCTGACCTCATCCACCAATGCAGCGAAAGGCTTCTCCCAGCCGTACATCTTTATGACGCGGATCCCAGAGATGACTTCACTCATCGTACGTATTCTTTCATCCGTTAGCACTGCTGTTTCAGCCCTGAAACAAGTGGCACAAAAGGCAGAAATCGCACCAGTGCAACACACAAGGCAGACCTGATAGTAAAAGGAGCTTGTTTTATATATTTGATCAATCTGGCAACTATCTACAAACCTGAGAGTGGAGAACAACTGTCCGAACATGGTCTGTACTGGCATCAGGACGAAGAAGACCGCCATTCCCGCGAGGCACGACGGGCCAATCGCATACAACAACAACAACGTCACAGTTGCTGCTTGTACGGGACCAATCCACAGAAAGTGCAAATATAATGTTAGCTGTAGGAAAACAATGTTTATTGTTATCAACATGTGAAATTATATCGCTCAGCCATAGATACACATTGTAGTCATACATCATGGAAGGAGCCAGATGTCAAATATTTAATAAAATAAATAATAGATAGATACTTTCAGATGATTACCTCGTCAAATTTGTTGACATCATTGGATAAGAGGTTCACAATTTGTCCTGTGGTAGTTTTGGCCAATGCTTTGCTGTTAAGACAAAGAGCCTTTGCAGAAAAAAAAAGTGTTAAAACAAGTTGTATAAAAACCACAGGAATGTGACATGATGATATGAGGAGTATGAAGAGGACATTTATACATACATGCACCTCATGATGACTCACCTTCCGATAGATCATGTGGCACATGGCCACACGAATCTTCATGCCTGCTCGCTGGACGTGGTAGAAATAGAGGTGATGAAGGACGGAGAGGCTAATGGTTGCCAAGGAGATGCCCAAAGCGAAGCTGTAGGCCTCAAAGACTGCAGCTGTGCTGCTGGCTTGATTATTCTCAAAGAACTCAATTATCTTCCCGAGCAGCACCGGCTGAATGACTTTGATAACTTCCTGAAAGAAAAGGAGATGGAAAGTGTGGGTGTGATGAATTAACACAGTGCTCTGGAGGCGTTTGGTTTAGCTGTGACACTGTACCTCTATAAAGATGTATATTCCAATGAGTGCGTATGGTCTCCAATAGCACTGAACAAGAGCTTTGGAAAGTCTGGGTGGGTGCAGATCTTTGGCCGCCTGTTGAACCTCTCTGTTCCAGTAACTTGGAAAAGGAAAAGTAACGATCTTTGTCAGTAATCTAAAATAATGATGCATTGTTACGCACAATAATGCACTTTTGCACCACTGAATGTCTGAAGGAATTCAGTTTCTCTCATTTTGAGGATATAAACTATGCCTCTTTTTGGTGGCATATTTTATTTATACATGTTGGTGTGTGGCTTTCAATGGTAAAATATTTACTGATTTTGCGTCGTAATGAAAAAATAGATAATGAACTACTTCCAGCTTTTGCATTGGACTGAAATTAAATTTGATTTAAGAAGAAAGAACTTTATTGTCCCAATTTAAAACTATTTACTCCTACTGCACCTGTAGAATTAACTATATGACATCATCAAGTGCTTTCACCATACTCTCTAATCTAGATTCCCAACTACGGCGCAGCTTCTATCTGGTTCTCTCTCCCTGGCCTTGAATGGTTAGAGGTGCTACTATTTTAAATTCGTTGGTTTATATCAATTCAGTAATAGTAGTAGTAGTAGTAGCAGTAGTAGTTTAAGATTAGCTGCTCAAAACCCCTCAAAGGGCGGTCTGTGTCTCTCTAGGACACATACAGGCTGAGAGGTGTCAGGCTTTTAATAACTATAAATAATGTACGGAAAAATAGGATTCTGATCAAAACCTGAGCACTGTGTTATACTGTATGTGCTACAGTAACAGACAGCTCATATGAAACACCCTGTGCTAACATAAGGAGGTGCACGGCTCTGCATGGTACAACACCACCTCATTCTAATGGTTGAGGATCAGCAATAAATGCTGGTGAGAATGGGGACAAATAAAGCTAGAGATATCGTAAAAGTCTTACCATTGTAGCTCCTCCCCGAGTCTGTGTGAAGCGTCCTCCGGCAGAACATTATACATGTCATCTTCTTCCAATTTCCTTTGGTACCCAATTCTGAATAAGGGATTCAGCCAACTGGAGAGAAAGTAACATATAAATATGCTCAGTAGTCAAAAGGTCATTGAGAAAACGTTTGAGAGAACGTTTTCAAGAGAGGACATGAATGCATGCTGTTCATTGTGGAAGTAGTCGACCTGTATGAGCGGGAACATCAACACACAGTTTAACTGTGCAGCGTGGCCTCCATATCTTTTTTCTAACTGACCGTGAAAATTGACTTGATTCACAGTTCTTATATCATTAATCTAGTTGCCAGAATGCTTACAAAACGTCCATATGAGAACCCAATTGCAAAGGGCAGGGTAAATGGTAATGGACTGTACTTGTATAGCGCTTTTCTAGTCTTCCGACCACTCAAAGTGCTTTAACACTACATGACATCATTCACCCATTCACACCCATCCATACACTGATGACAGCAGCTACCACACACAGTGACACCTGCCCATCAGTAACTAACATCCACACGCTGTAGTCACAGCTACAGGAGCAACGTTGGGTTAAGTGTCTTGCCCAAGGACACATCGGCATGCGGGTTAGCCGAGCCTGGGATCCAACCGCCAACCCTTTGATTGGAGGACGACCGTGATCCCCATTCACCCACAGTCGCCCATAGTCACATGGACCCCGCTATACTCTAGCCCAATATATATATTTGGGGGCATTTTGCAAATTAGTGCTACACAACTGTAATCATTATAATAGTAACTACTCTTACTTCCCTGAAGAAACCACTGAACAGCACAGTAGCTCTGTGTGGCGACAGTGTGGTTTACAGACGGATGCTCGGCAGCTCATCGCATCCGGGGGGACAGCCTGTCTTTTGAATGACCACAAAGTGTCACACGCGAGAGCTCTCCGTTCAATCAACGTCAAACACGGCCGTCACTGCGGGCCGCTTTTCTTACCAGAAGAAAATCTTGGAGAGAAGATTAGCTGAAGCTGACGGATTATCCCTCGCCTCCTTCTGCAGTGGTTCCGTGCCCCCCATCAGTGAACGCAACCTGAGGACTTTCTCTGCAGGCCGGGTGGCAGTGGGAGGGGGGGAGGGAAGGGGGGGAGGTATAGACTCAGAGGAGTAAAACCCTTGACGGAACAGCTGCCGTTAACTCCAATATCTGTCAATATCACTCCTGCAGACGTTCAGGGCCGGATTACCTCACAGGACGCACAGCCGGGTCGGCTCATCTGTCAGGTGAGCGGGACGGAGCGTAACCCCGCCTCCCGCCTTGGGATTGGCTGATGGAAGTGTCCATCATTTAGGTAATGGTAATGCAAATTGCAAATGCCAGAGTAGCGTCCTAACTTTTTCCTGAAATTGTTTTATTTTGTATTATATTATATAATAGGACTTTTCAACACTCAAAATGTAATATTCTTGTAGACTATTAAAATAAAATAAAAGAGTTTTTGCTCTCAATTTTACCTAATTAATTTAATTATTAGTTCAACCTATATTCTTAAATGCAAATTGATATTGACTTTCTGTCAAATGCACTGAATCACAATTTGTATTTGTTTACCAATGTGGAAACTGTTGGTGTTAATTTGTTTTCTATAATCGAGTTCACACACAATCACAACACATGTTCTGTGTATCCCAAACATTATATGTCATTCTATCATTTGTTTAAATCAAAGTAAATAGTACAATATTTAGATCTATTTTATAGGTATTTAGTTATCATAGTATCAGATCAGAACTCACTCTCTTCACGCGTGGGAAAGTGAACAGTAAATGTGAAAAACAACAAGAATGTTAATCAGTCAGTTGCTAAACATCGTGTGCAAAAAAAAAAAAACTGGACTTTGTCACATTGCTTCTTTTTTTTAAGGATTACTGATTATTTTCTTTAGTGTTAATATGGTACTAGACCTTATTTCTGGACCAAAACAGGCGTTTCGAATGCTGCTTACCTAAAGTAATGAATAACCTCCAGCTAGTACTTCCCTCCTGTTATCTAACTTTCCATCCCTCGTCACCGTGGACGCAGGCGCAATATCCAATCTGTAAATCATCACAATGAAACACATGTCTACAGTGTAATTTGCCTCTCTGGGGCCATATAATTTCTCTTTTTTTTAATCTGTTGAAAGAAAGTTTACCAATCTTAAACCTGCAAATGTCGGGCTTGCAGATTCTGGCTTTTGTCAGCGGCCTGGCCGGGCTGGGCGCCACTATTGGGGCCACAGTGTCCAATGAATGGAGGGCCACCAGCCGGGCATCCTCAGTCATCACAGCGACCTGGGTGCTGCAGGGTCTGTGGAACAACTGTGCTGGAAATGCCATCGGAGCTCTGCACTGCCGACCACATCATACTATCCTCCAGCTGGAAGGTAAGCTGCACCGGGGTCAGGGTTTCATGGCAACACACACACAGCGACGCGTATCTGTTCTCGCGCTTTCGTCTACATTAACGGAGCGGTCGGAAAGAAATATAGTCAGTGAACATCTCACATGTATATGCTGTGGTATTGTATGTAATTGAGGTGCTTCACTAAAGGTCCTGAATATATAACTTCAGTATGCTTCTACACTGATGTGTCACCGTGGTTTCACAGGCATATATCTGTGATCTATTAAGAACGATTGAGCTGCGGAGGATTTCTTTCAAAAGTCATTCAAGGGCAGGACGTATTCAAATGTTCTTTTTCATAGTGCTAATTTCCTCTTTTCCATGGTTTAATACGGAAATAAGTCTCTCAACGTGCTATTAAAGGTTCCTGGAAATTATGCAAAATAAGTATTTTCTTAAGTGACTGTTTTACATTTTTTTTTAACTTAATGTTCATCATTAGGTGTATATTATAGAAAAGCCAGCCTGAAAGTGGTGTGATATTTGTTGATGAAAGAATGTTATTATCTTAATTTTTTTAAATTGTTATTTACTATAGCTATTATTTTCAAATGTAACTGCTGCTTTATATAATCACGAACATCAAATTCCTCTAAGTGTAACATATGTGGCAATAAATGGCTTCCGATTCTGAACAACATGTTACCATGACAGGTACTGTTTTATAGGAAAGAATTCACCTTAAATAAACACAACCAAACAATAATTTATTTTACGGATTATGACCGTGTTCACGCTGACAACTGAGTAATCCAAACGTAAATGTCTAACTTAGTGTGTCTGAGTCACATATTTGACAAAGGAAGCAATCGAAAACCTGCTGTCGGCAGTAATGTGCCACTATGGAAAAAAAGTAATCAATCAATTCAAATGATATGACCCCCTTTCACAAACATTATATCTTGTGTAACATTTTTGAGGGTTCCTTATGATGATGGTTATGATTTTTTTTTTTTAGGGAATAAATGTGAGAAAATATTCCCTAACATCATTTTCTTTTTGTAATTGTAATTTTGTCGACAATTACATCATTCTCTACATAAGACTAACAGCCTTCTCGTAAACCTCAGATTAGTGCTAATTAAAATACATTTCGGGCCAAAATAAAACAAATGACAGGAATGTAACATGCAACACAAGTACCTTATATTTTGAGTGCATGAAGACGTTTTTAGGCCCTTTGAAGAATGTATGTTTCGTATGGGTTTTAATTTACTTCACCCCCTTGTGGCTGTAATGAATACTACAACAACCTGTACCGTCTTTCACACGTACCAAGGCTTTTTTTCAGCCTTTCAATAGTGAAAAACAAGAATGAGAAAACTTTTTAGGTCAGATTTTACAACTTTTTCATCTCACTTTCCCCTTGAGGCTTCTGTATCAGAGTGAATGACACGCTGTTAATACGTTATTAGCTTTTTGAGGAGGTTACAGCACTCTTATTATGCAGGTGGCAGTGCAAGATGAGAAGTACCAGGTGCCACATTCACCGTACTGTCCTGTGGTTTCCAAGAAAGGTTTAACTTTTTTTCAAATTGTAATTTCATAACATTTGTGCCAGGAAGAGCATGTGTGGAAGAAATAGCAGATACACAATAGGATTTACCTTTGACGCATTTTTGGTTTAGCCTATTCTCGACTAGGTATGACCAATGACCATATTTTACTATACTATGAACATATTCATTATAACACACCTCCGATTTAATTAATTAATTAAACCTCATGATGTCATCAAGACATTTTTTAGCATCCAGAACTTTGCGTCCCCATCGTCAATGACGTGCACTGGACGAGGGGGGTGGAAGATGCCATAAAGACCATTGGCCCCCTGTTGATGTTCTGGGCCAAACTCCTCCCTTACAGAATACGAGAGTGCACCACACATTAACTATCAATCGCATCCTATCCATTCCACTTACTGGTGTAGCACGAAGTAGCCCTTTTCAACGCGCCTCCCTGGGCAGGCGACCGTCGATCCATTCCAGGTCTCACCAATTGGACGTCACACTCCAGTGTCGAGGACGGCGGCGGCTCTCGGCATGACAAGCAGCATGTTTCAGGAGATCTTCGCCTTTATTCTGAGCACTTTGGGGTGGGTGTTAGTGTCTTCCACCTTGCCCACGGACTACTGGAAAGTCTCGTCACTCGACGGGACAGTCATCACCACGGCTACCTACTGGTCCAATCTGTGGAAGACCTGTGTCACTGATTCAACCGGAGTCTCCAACTGCAAAGATTTTGCCTCCATGCTGGCACTGGATGGTCTGCTCATTGTTCCCTTGTTGTTGTTTTTTGGTTAATCATGTCGGGATTATTTCCTATTTGTTTTTCTGTTAAAGAGCATACGTTAATGTCTGAAAGGGTTGGTGTCTTTAGTGCTGGCTGACTCATCCTCAATTTTCAGGACCCTGTCAAAGGTTCAGCTCCTCCTCGGTCTAAACTTTAGAAGAACATTTAAGTTGAGACTCATTGCTTCTCGGGACCAGTAGAAACGCTAAATCCAAGATTTTAAGGAACAAGGATCGTTTACCTCCAAACAAGTGAATGTTTAGCCTTTCTTTTATGAGCTTTAAAGCTATGAGGGGGATTTACTCAGACCCTCTGGTCCTTTTTCCCACGGCTGACTACTTTCAGGGGTCAACTTTAAAGGTAATATTTGCCACAAAATCCCATCTGAATGGGACGCTTCATTCTAAGACATTTCCTGCACTACAACAAAATGTCTGAAAACAATTAGAGTTACTTCAGACAAATTGTTTTCCTTGCGTTCGGTGTAAATTGGTCACAAGATCAATAACCTATTGACTTTGTGGTGTACAGATGTGAGACTACAAGAAATGCAAAACCACAGAATGGAGCCCCGAAAATACTCTTTTTGACCAAATATACACTTGACCTCTATTTTACATTCGCAGGCTACATTCAAGCCTGCAGGGGATTGATGATTGCAGCTATCTGTCTGGGGTTTTTTGGTTCTATATCAGCCCTTGTCGGAATGAAATGCACCAAAATTGGAGGAAACGATAAAAACAAAGCCAGGATCGCCTGCTTTGCCGGTGGGAATTTTATTCTTAGTGGTAAGTAGATTGAAAATCCTCCCAGCAATACCTGTAATTATATATGAAGTGTAATTACATTGACTTTTTCTTGCTGTACTCAGGGCTCTGCTCACTTTCAGCATGCTCCCTCTATGCCCACCGAATAACCACAGAGTTTTTTGACCCAATGTATATTGCACAGAAGTAAGACAATTCTCGTTATTTCAGGGATTTAAAATAAAAACATTTAGAAAAATGATGTTCATCAGCAACTATTGATCCTTGTCCGTAGGTATGAACTGGGAGCTGCTCTCTTCATCGGCTGGTCAGGTTCTGTCCTCTGTATCCTCGGAGGCAGCATGCTCTGCTGTTCCATCACGGCTTCTTTTCCCAAAAGGTGCTTTCAGTGACACATGCTACCATTTACATGATAGATACAGAAATGAACCAATACTGTTTAATCGAAAGTCATGGAGTCAATCCTATGTTCTCTCTCTCTCTTTTTCCAGCCAAAGTCAAGTGAATTATATCTACAACGGTGCTGTCTCTCATTCTCATATCTCGTCCTACCCGAGAGGCCAGGCAAAGTCTGCCAACCAGAGGCCGCCTCCAGACTACAGCAGCTCCTCCAGGACGCAGCACTTTGACAAGAATGCATATGTGTGAGGGATGTGAAAAAACACTTATAGTTGATGCCCGTCGGCAGTTTTAAAACAGCTTTTGTACAGTTTGTATACAATAATCCGTGGCTCTTCGGGGAGTACATTTTGAATTTCTACATGTTTCTTCAGGAGGTCTAAATTGTATGATGCATTTTTTTCTTTTTCTAAAGAATTTTTATTTTCAATACACCAGACCACTTCTGTATTTGGTAATTGTTTGTTTTAGTGGTCATTGAATTTTATGATTCTAAATGTATCATAATTAAACAGCTAAATCAAAAACGGGTGCAGGATTTGACCAGATTGTTCGTTTGGTGGTTGAATCTTTGAATGTAAGTAGCCTGAACATGTTAACTTGTGATCACAATATCTAAAACAGTGTCAAATACAGATTATCTTTTTTCCACTACACAACCATAAACCATGATCTTGTTTAGTATATAAGTAGCAATAAGACAGATAAAAGATAGAATTGAGTTTCAGCACACGGTATATAGCATATATTTGTCCTAGTGAGTGATCACGTCTGCACAGGGCAGCAGTTTAACGCTCTGTGTTATTGCCTCTTAAGAATTCCATTTTATCACAACGAAGTCTTGCAATTGTTTGGAAGTGGTTACAAGCGTGGCGTTTGTCACAACAAACACATACTACATATGTAACGGTAAATTACAAGTGGGTGAAAAAAATCAAAAAAAGTAGCTAGAGTCGGAGAGAACTTTCTGCAGTGGGCGGCACACCCCAAAAGGTTTACAGTAAACATCTCAAACACTTGCACAGAGCCCTCATCAACAGCGATGGCACACGGCACAATGTCATCGTCTCCTGGAGCACAAAATGACTCGTCATCCCGCTTACCACTGACTAGAGGTTCGGTGTGTTTTTTGCGCCGAGGCCACCTGGCTTGATCGGGTGATTTCAGAAATGGGGAAACGCCTGATCCAAGTACTCGGCTTCTTGATCTCCTCGCTGGGATGGGTCTTTGTGCTGTGCACCATGGCCATGGACTTTTGGAGGACCAGCCAACTAGGAGGACAAGGAGGGTCCTTTATCATCAAAGTGGCGTGGTACTGGTCCAATTTATGGAAGGATTGCTACACCGATTCCACGGCCGTCACCAACTGTAGAGACTTCCCCGTGCTTTGGAGTGTCAAGCGTAAGTACACCACGTGCTGCAAAACCGAAAAGGAAATACATCAGCATGTTAGTTGTTCCTAGAAGTTGGAATCATTTTCGTCATCATCTCTTCTTCTCGCAGCTTTTGTGCAGGCGGTACGAGGATTGCTAATGTGCGGGTTAACTCTCGGTTTCGTTGCTGTTATCCTCTGCTTTGTTGGGATGGAGTGCACTTACATCGGTGGCGCTCAGAAAATCAAGGACAAACTGCTTCTCGCCGGCGCGCTGTTTCACATTGCTGGATGTGAGTACACAACACAGAAATCATTGTTGCTGTAAATGACCTCATTATTTCTTGATTTCATCTACACTCCTGCATGCAGGTGTGTCGGATGTTTCGGCCTACTGCTTATACATCAACAGGGTGGCCAGAACAGCCTTTGCTGGGAGGGTAGGGCCAGGAGTATTACGGTACTTTTTTATGTACTTCACAATATCACCTAATTTACACAGTAACACATCTACTTATAATGTGTAAGAGTTATCTTAACTTTGTGTCTTTCATTTAACTAATTCCAGCTATGATCTAGGACCTCCCATATTTCTAGGATTGGTGGGATGTTTTTTAATCCTTTTAGGGGGTATTTTTTACGCCGTGACCGTCTACCGTGTCATTTTTCCTAAAAGGTATTCAAATTCATTCATCATAACCCTTTTTTTCTGTGAATATGTACTACATTATGAACATGCAAGTGTTTTGTTCTTATAGTAAAGTGGTTTATGCCTATGGAGGAGGCACGTACATGGCCCCGCGCTCCAGAGGAAGAACCATGTACAGCGGCTACTACAGACCCTCCCGGCAGAATGGACCTTACAGGGGATCACAACTATCAAAAAGCTCCAGGATCTCAGGGCTCTCTCAGACGACACGCACCAACATCTCAGAAAGAGACGCATTTGTGTAGCGCATAGAATGAAAAAGCTCTACTTTCTCATCAGAGCATTATCGACAAATGTATTTTGCTGTTATACTCCTGTGGCTTTAATGATGTTGTCAAGTTTGTGGAAAAAGGTTTGTTTTTTTATGTCTGCTTGTTGCTGTTGTTTTGCAGCTAACATGTTTAATAATAATAAAAATATGATAATGAATGGCCAGATGTGTTCCAGGGGATCATTGTCCCAAGGCTGAGCTGACGTGTCACTGACACCAAAGCATCATGGATGAATCTTGCTTCTTAGCATTCATAATAATGGAGCGACAATAGTTCTATAACTGCATTATTATGAATGCTAAGAAGCAGGCGAATGGCTTTGCTTGGGAAAAGAACTGTTTACTATTTCACTGGTAATTCAAATTCAACTTGCTATCCCTGTTTTTATTCATTTCAGGGAGAGACACATGGGAAAACAAGAAAAAAAGCAGCCTCGCTCTTAATGATAATCTGGCAGAAATCATGTGCGTTTCACAAAAAAACAACACATTATCAAAGTGGGATCTGATGATGTACACAATCCATGTTTAGCCTCCTGCGCCTGAGATATTGGCCTATTTTTTTTATCACTTCTGGGTGGGAGCTGGTGTCTTCTACTAGGCAATACTGGAGGATATACACACTGGATGGAACGGTCGCCACAGTTACCAACTATTCCAATCCGTGAAGGATCAGTATCACGGATTTAACTCGAGTCTCAGGCTGCAAAGACTTCCCTTTGTTGCTGACTGGAGGGTCAGCTGGTTTTTCCCTCCTTATTGCATGAGTGTTTATTGACTTTTTAACGGTTTTGGTCAATGAGGTATAATTACTTTTCTGTTTGTTTGTTTGTTTTTTTAGCTAAAGGCTGTAAAAGCTTTGAGGGTTCGATGTAGTTTCTCTTTGCCAGTTTGTCCGTATTCAGCGTCCATTAAGTGTTCAGCTCATTGTAACTCATGACTAATAGGAACTCTGAGGCCTAATTTAAGTCTTTAAGGAACAACTCATTGACCTCCATGTATGTCAATGTTTAGCCTTTGTTCTCAGAGCTTGAAAGCTGTAATTAAGATTTACTTTGACCCTCTGGTGTTTTTGACCATGGCTGTCTAGTTTCAGGGGTTCACTCGCAAAGAAATATTTGCCAAAATCACATGTGAATGGGACGTTTCATACCGAGACATTCCCTAAACTTTTACGTAGTGCCTGAAAACAATTATGGTCAAATCAGGACAAATAGTTCATTTGTAAAATAGTCGTAGGGTGAATAATCTGTTGACTTTGCGGTGTGCAGGCGTGAGAATAGAGGGGATGCAAAAGCACAGAATGGAGCCTGAGTAAATAACTCTTTTTTCTGCTTATAGATATAACCTCTATTTCACATTTACAGGCTAGATTCTTGCATGTAGTGAATTGATGATTGCTGCTGTCAGTCTGTTTTTTTAGTTCAATATTTTGCCTTATTAGAAGGAAATGCACAAGAATTGTCTGTAGCTGACCTACAGTTGGACCTCGGGGACCTCATTATTTCTTAATATCGACAAAATCTTTCAAAAAGAAATTGTATTTAAAAAATGTATTTAAATGTATTTAAGTCTGTATTTGAATATATAAACAGTTTGCAACAACACATTTGCAGTACAAATCTTTTACACAAATGTGAGTGTACGCTTCCGTGCAACAAAAAAGTGTCATGATTTTGAAATATTTTTGCCGCTGCCTTGTTTGCATGTTTAGACGTTCACACAGCATCTGCAGTAGGAGCTGAATGATACACTGAGCCCATGCTAGGCTCACGTGTATTGTCCTAACAACAAACCACATGTCCCCATCACAAAACAGTGGAATCAAAGTTCAAGGCAAAACATGTGATGATGTACACAAACCAGGTTTGTCCTTCTGGGGGTGTGTTTCCTGCGGGGCCCCACAGTTGGTGTCCAGGAGCCGTCGGATTGAACTTTTCTCCGTGTAGAGACTCGACTTGGAGACAGCCATGAGTTACAGGACTGTGGTGATGTACGTGGAGATCGGCTGCTTTGTTGTCTGCGTAACGGGATGGATCCTGGTGTGTTCCACGATGCCCACAGAGATCTGGACATGGTCTGAGGTAGACAGCATAGTGTTGACCACCTCAAACTACTTCTCCAACCTGTGGAAGGATTGTGTATCAGATTCGACCGGAGTATCCGACTGCAAGGGAATTCCCTCAATGCTTGCTCTGAACTGTAAGTAAATGTGCTTGAGTACAAGATATGATGATGGATAAAAAGCAAAAAACATATTTTTTTCCTGCGCGTTTTAATGTATTCTGCGTATTACAGGGGACATTCACATGTGCCGGGCTCTCATCATCATCGCTATTATCCTGGCTTTCTTTGGATCAGTTCTGGTTTTAGTGGGAATGAAGTGCACGAAGGTTGGTGGATCAGAGATCGTTAATGCGAGAGTGACCTTCGCTGGGGGCATGAACTACCTTATTGGAGGTAGGAGATCATACGGACCATTTGGCAGAAGTTATACATATCAGGTTCTTCTTAACATCAACAGGTTCTTGTTGTTTTAGGGTTGTGTTCCATGATCGCATTTTCCTATTATGGAAACAAAATCAGAGCTGAATTTCAAAACCCAAACTACAGAGCTCAAAAGTACGTACGATGTTTGAGTGACATGGATACAATACACAATAAACCCATGTTGTATAATACATCAATAATTACCAGGGGTAATAATAATTACAGAAATTGTATACTAATATTTGGTTGTTGTATTCATTGCTAGATTTGAAATAGGCGTCGGTGTCTTTATCGGTTGGGCGGGTTCCAGCTTGCTTGTTGTTGGAGGCCTTATTTACAGTACAGTTGCTGGGAGGGAAGGGTGCAACTCAAGGTAAAATTCTGACATTTTCTGACATTTTTTTCCAGCATTTCCATTATCTCCAGACAAATAACCACAATTTATTAAATTTGAACCTCACAGCTCAAAAGGACACCCCAACTACCACGTCCCTAACGCCTACAAGGTTGTTGCCTCAAAAAAAAATGTTTCTTTAGCGCGCACGGTGACCAGCGGAAGCAGCGAATCTGGGACCACCAGTGGCGGCAGCAGCAGCATCTCTGGGATCACTAGTTCTACCGCAACAACAACTACAGATTCATATGTGTGACCTCTTTCAAATATTCTGTGTACCTGTACTTGTATGTGAAATAAACTGTGTGTGTGGCTTTATTTCCATAAGCATTTTTATATTTTGAACACTGGCTGTGTGCTATTCAAGTCCCCAAAACGGGATTAAAAGGGGTTGGTTCATACCCTAAAACCAGAGGAACTTTGAGAATAATAAATCAATAATGATTACATAAGTTCTGGTCAGGTAAGAATATGCGTGGTCTGACATATATTGAGCATATCAATTTGCCCCATGCCCCTGGACACAACTGCTTTGTGAGGATCAGCTCGCCGTTTGCCATCATCCGTGGTTCCTTAAAAGTGTAGAAAAAACAACGCAGACCCTGATGTTATGCTGCCGTGGCTTCTCTCTGTTGAACCAACGGGTGTGGGCGGGGCTTCTCGAACCATCCGGCCAATCACAGCCACACACGACCGGCCCGACTCAGTGCGCTGGTCCGGGAGGTGACCGGGAGAAGCGATGCCGAATAAATAGCGGCCAACACATGGGACTGTTGAGAATAAAGCGACACGTTAGTACGGAGAAAAAAACACACACACACACAAACACACACCTGCTGACCTGTGTGAGACAACGAGAAGTGGACGCGTCTGATGCTGCGAGGCTAAAACATGGTTTCCATCGACCATGTCGCTAACAAGTTGCTGACTTACGTCCCATATGTTCTTGTTTTGATTGACATGAGATACGCAGGTAAGGAAACGTCCGCGCTAGATCACCAACGTCACCAACTAACTAACGTTAACTAACTAGAGCTCCGGCCACGCTTTAGCCAGTCTGCTTGCCAGTTTGCGACGTGCGGCTAAAGTCAGCGGTTGACGTGACGTTGGCTAACTTGGTGAGGTTAATGGCAGCTGGCTAACTTGGTGAGGTTAATGGCAGCTGGCTAACTTGGTGAAGTTAATGGCACTTTGCCAACGCTACGCCCGCTAATCGCTTGTGCTAACCGACAGCTCGCGGGTTAAAGCGCCGATAAGCAGTCCGCTACGCACGCGCGCCGCTAACCGCAAGCTTAACTTCAACGGTTAGCCTGACGTCTGACAGCTAGCTTGTAGCTAACGCGACACGCCGACGTATCCCCTCTCTCATCGTTAAAGGTTAATTAACGTCAGCACCTCGGGAATTGGAGACTTGTAACTTCACCTCACAGACGGTCGGTGTTGATGTCAGCGTGTGAACCGTCTCTGCAGGAGTGAAATGCGGCCGGGATGGAGGAGTGGACAGTCACATGGAGATGGGGAAGAAGCTGCTCGCCGCTGGCCAGCTAGCCGATGCCTTGTCTCACTTCCACGCAGCTGTGGGTGAGTGAGTTTCTAACGTTGCTTAAAGACGTGACATGGAAAGCAGCGTCATGTTTGCCTTTGTCTCCGTGTTGTCAGATGGAGATCCTAAGAACTACATGGCCTACTACAGGAGGGCCACTGTGTTTCTGGCCATGGGCAAGTCAAAGTCTGCACTGCCTGATCTCAGCAGAGTTATTGAGCTCAAACCAGACTTCACATCTGTGAGTTATTTTACATGTTTGTCACTCTGTCTAAGACGCTTACACATACATTGCACACGTGGTTTTTATTTTGTACTGTAGACTTAAAGACATTTATCACAAAATGAACTCACCTAAGCAAAAGCAAAACATTGGTTTATTTGTATGCAAAAGAATCAGCCCCAGTCTACAGAATGTTTAGTTGTATTGTGGTATTACAGGATCTTCTCTTCCTGTCTCCACAGGCTCGCCTTCAGAGAGGAAACCTGCTTCTGAAGCAGGGGGGACTGGATGAGGCAGAGAGTGACTTTAAGAAGGTGGTAAGTACCCGGTTTAAAGTCACTGTTCTGTGTGATAAGCAGAGATCACCAGCAGGTGTCAGTGTTGATCTGTAGCCTGGTGTTGAAGGGAATCTAATCTGAAGCTTAAATGATCCGTTTATTGTTTGTCTTTAAAAATATTTGAAATGGGGGCCATACTTTTTTATTTCTTAATAATAATAATAATAAAGGTTTTTATTTTATTAATTTCACTATACTGTACATTTATGTTTGAAGGTTGACCGTGCGATATGTTTTGTTATTTAAAGGTGAATTCTATTGCTTTGAAACCTAGAAAAGAGGAAGTTTAAAAACAGATACTTAAAGGCACATAAGACGTTAGAGAACCGAGATGCCCTGGATCCGTACGCTAAAGTGAAAGATGTAGGGGATGATAACATTTTGAGTGAATTCTCATTTTCAGGTGCTTGTTGAAGATCAAGACTGGCGCTTGCTAATGCATTTTCCATTAGAATGGCTATTTCACACAACACTCCCAGAAGACATAAAATGTCTGCTATTAATTCTTAGTTTTCCATTTGAGCTGCTCAATTCTCAGGGGAGGCGGTGGTGCAGGCAGAGATGAAGGGTGTCTTTTATGTGGGGGATTGAAAGTGACCGTCTGTGTCCCCTTTTGTGCCGAGGGCATGTGGTGAGCCTGCAGCTTCATAAACCTGAATACCACAAATATTTACCAGTCGGCTTTTAATTGGCTTCCATTACACGTGGGTTAGCCTTCTATTTGTATATACGTGAGTTTGTCCGGCTGTAATATAACACGAGTACAATGTGCTCCAGGCTGCTGAACTGTCGGGGTTGTATTTTACTAAGCTAATACAAGTCAAACTGTTCCTTTCTGTGAGTGCCTGTGAAATAGAGAGTATATGATAGCAATCAGGTGAAACTTTCTCCCTTTTTGAAGAGGTCAAGAGGCTACATTCCCAGCAGGGGTGAAAAGACACAACTGAGCTGGTACCGTTTTACAAGGGACACATTTTGCGGATATAAAGCAGAAGGATGCGCGCTGTCTGTTCTGCTGCTTCAGCAGTCCACACGTTGGCCTTAATGCATCACATTTGCATGCACTCTGCTTCCTTCCTAAGCTTAGCTTCCAGGAAACCGTACAATTGCTGTTGGGAATAGGATGACCTCTATGATGAGGACGATTGTGATGTAATGGGTTTAGAGAATGCTAAGGATTGCTCCACAGAAAGATAAGATCTCCTGTTGGAATAAATTCTCTTCACTTAAATGTCTTTCTTGATTGACTGCTTTAATCAGCACCTTAAGAATGCACTCTAATGACTTAAGCGTACGATGTTCCAGCTGAAATCCAACCCCAGCGACAAAGAGGAGAAGGAAGCCCAGAGTCAGCTGATGAAGGCGGATGAGATTCAGCGTCTGGTGGCTCAGGCGCGCAGCAGCTTCAACAGCCAGGATTATGGGACCGCTGCTGCCCAGCTCGACACCATCATTGAGGTAAGAACAAACGTACCTGGTCAGCATTTCCCGATTTCTTCTCGAGCGTGACATTGTCCGTGTTAATCACCGTGGTGTTGACTGAGCATTTGTATGACCAGTGGCTCTGCCGTCTGTAAGATATTTTCTGCCCGTCACAGACTTGCGTTTGGGACGCGGCCTCTCGGGAGATGCGAGCGGAGTGTTTTATTCTAATGGGAGAGATGGGGAAAGCCGTCAGTGACCTCAAAGCCGCATCCAAGTTAAAGAATGACAACACCCTGGCTTTCTACAAACTCAGCACCATCTACTACAATCTCGGAGACCACGAGATGTCCCTCAAGTAAGACTCGCTGGCAGACTGCTTTCCTAAAGGCTCCCACACTGTCTCACGGCTTGACATCATGGCGGTCCAAGTATCAGAAAGGAACAGTTGCACCAGGAGACGGCTCGCCGATCACCGAGGTGTTCCCCAGATTCTAACATGGCATTCATTTCCTTTTAGTAGACGCCATTAAGCAAAGCTCTACTTCATATCGTATGAGTGCAGTTTAGTGAGGATGGCTAAACAAGGAGGGATATTCATGGATACATATTTCTTGCATTTGTTTTTATGTGATGAGGAGCTGGATACAAATAACAAAATAAATCTTACAATGAATGCAACAGTTCTGTAGAAAATCACTCAAAGTCTCTTTCATTTTAGTAATAACACATGGAGGTGTTTGCATGAAACTGTGCCTCTCTTGCCATTCTTACCCCGTGTAAGATGTCTTGTTTTGCCTTAAAGTCCAAACCAAATGATTTTTATTATAAAGTGTGTTGTTTTTTGTCCTTTTTTCAGAAGCGGTCAATGTAGCACCTTCATCGGCTAATATGTCTTAATTTTCCTGTGATCTGCAGTGAGGTTCGTGAGTGCCTGAAGCTTGACCCTGATCACAAACAGTGTTACAGCCATTACAAGCAGGTCAAGAAGCTGAACAAACAGATCCGGTCTGCAGAGGAACTCATCCAAGAGGAGAGGTACGTGTCTTTAGGCTGTTGTGTTAGCGATGGGATGAAGCCTTTCTCTCTTTCAACCTCCCGCTTTCTGATCTCCTGAACTGGCACCACGCCATTAATTCTAACGGGTCGTACGTGACATGCGTAAGATAGCCGACCCGTGGGACTAAACCTGTGTGTGTTTAGTGTCTTTGCGATAACCCATGCTGCATTCGTTGACGAAACACCCACCTGCTTCCCGCTCTAGGTACGAAGATGCGGTGAGCAAATATGAGGCCGTGATGAAGACTGAGCCCAACGTGCCCCGCTTGTCTCTCCTTGCCAAGGAGCGCATGTGCCATGCGTTAGCGAAGGTGAGACCCCTCGCCGCTACCATGCCGTGCAACAAGTCTTTCACATGCAATGCACCTTTTTTCTTTAATTGTTCCTGCTTGCGTGTGATGAACAGGGCCTGCAGGGCAGCAGAGCCGTGTCGGTGTGTGGAGAAGTCCTCCGGTTGGATCCGGAGAACGTCAACGTGCTGAAGGACCGAGCTGAGGCCTACATCCAGGAGGAGGACTACGAGGCCGGTAAGCCAGCCCCATGTAGCTTGGTGTTGTTAACATCCGTTTATTTGTCACTCGGTGTGTTCAAACGTCCACACTGTGAAACCCGGATCAAACTAATTGCTTTTGAGCCGAGTAATCTGCAATTTATTCATTTCAGTTGAGAGGGAGGGATTATTAGGACAGGCATACTGCAGGTAATTTCTTTTATCTAACTCTGCTGTATACTGACGTCATGGGAGCAGTGTGAGACAGGGGGGGCCTTGTAACATAAAAATGGTAAAAAAAAAAAAAAAGGTAATACAAACATTTTTGCACACTGCCATTTTTGGCAGTATGCTGGTTGCTCACATCCAATTACATTTTGCCATGAAAATGTTGAAAGTACATAACCACTACATTTAAAGCATAAAAAAAACTAATGGCAATCGTCAGAACATTAATCCCATACAATATAATTAGAACTGAGTGTGGAGCACAGCGTGTTCGAAGTGCAATCTGCAAAATGTGGTGCTGCACTGCTGGCTGAAGTCATGCAAAATGACCACATGTTAATCAAGCTTTAAGCCATAACGGTAGTGCCAAAACACGCACGCACTTACTATCTCCATGAAGCCTTCGCTAGCAGAGGTGGAAGTAGGCACAAATGGTGGAGACCTGGCCGATCTTTTCCTCATCTATCAAGGTTTCCAGAAAAATGTCTGTGAAAACTTCTTCCCTTGCATCGGGCTCCAACGCTCCTTGATTTTTGCATTACATTAACTAAAGATTTATACAGAATACCTGAGACTTTCAAATGATTTGACAGGTTGTTAATCCCATAAAGAGATGATGTCATGCAGTACACGCATGCTGCTGTTCATGAGAGATCCTAGTTAGTGGGCAGCATTTGATTATTGCAAAAACAAGTGCACATTCAGCAAAGAAGTCATTTCAGTATTTGTTGATACAGTTTGGCTTTATTTCGCAAGAGATGGCGGTGTTTTTAGTGACATTATGATGACATGACCCGAGGTCATCATAACCTCCCCAGAATATGATCCGTGCCATCTATCCAATAAATAAGCAATGTATAATAAAGTGAAACCGGTGGGCAAAAGCTCAGTAAAGGAGACTGGTGGGAAAAGGCAAACTGGTACATGCAACATATAAGATCGGTGTGATACAAGAACCGACATGAAGCCTTAATCCTCACCTGTCTGCCGGCGAAGGCTTCGAAAGATGAACTTTCTTTTTATTTACGATTGATTTCTAATTGTGAAGATCGATGATACATTGATTTACTAAACCAGAGCTGAAATGTATCGACATGCACTTGAGGTTACTGGTACTTTTAGCCCGGTTTTAGAAAACATAAACGATACAGATTACAGCTCTGCAGCCGTTGTTTTATTGATTATATAATCAACAAGCTGCCTTAAATTCATCCATACCGTCACTGCAGAAAGAGAAAGGTCAGCAGTAGGAACACTCGTATATCGTCATGAAGGCATCAGCAGATGTCGTACCTGATCTGGGCTCTTAAACTGTCAGAACCGAAGGGTGTTCCTTCGCCTCAGAGCACCCAAAGGTGCACACGCACTCACAGAGCCTGCAGCTGCTGCGGCAAGATCTCTAAGCGATGGTGAATGAAATAGTTTATTTAATAGTGATCATGTTCAGAGAAAGAATTCCTAAAGACACCGGTCAAAAATGATGCTACGATATTGTTGCTTAAATGTCTCATCTTTTTCTGTACTTTGTTTGAGTCTTTTTTGTATTTTTTATCATTTGCAGTTATTTACAAACTTCCCTACACATAATCACACATTGTTTTTCCCTTTCAAATAAAACATTCATAGCATTAAAATTGAACCACACAACTTTTTGCTATGTGGAGAAATACTGGAATAATGTCTACCTGAAGTGATCCTGTCCATTTATCCTTTTTTCAGCGATTAGTGACTACGAGACGGCGGCGAAACACAGTGAGAATGACCGGCAGATAAACGAAGGCCTGGAGAGGGCTCAGCGGCTTCTCAAGCAGTCGAAGAGGAGGGATTATTATAAGATCCTGGGAGTGAAGAGGTGGGCACCCATGGCTGGCGTTTTGTATGTTTATATGTTACAGACAGGGATTTATTTTATTTTTTCTTCTGTTTTTACAAATGTGTTTAACAACCACTGCTCTACAAGCCACATGATGTTTCGTAGTAAATCCTAAAAAGAAGCTGAGGGTGGCTTTGCCCCTTTGTCACAGAACGGCCCAGAAAAAGGAGATCATCAAAGCCTACAGGAAGCTGGCGCAACAGTGGCATCCAGACAACTTCCAGGATGAAGAGGAGAAAAAGAAGGCTGAGAAGAAGTTCATAGACATCGCTCAGGCTAAAGAGGTCCTCACTGACCCAGGTGACATGTTGCTTTTCATCTGCTGAGTCGGTGGAAATTGTTATTGCCGTTTGGCTTTAGGATTTAAGGTGAAATTGTGATGCAACACAGGGTTGCATAACAAAATACGCTTTGAGAGCATTTGCTGCAGAAGGAAAAACATGACGTGCTAAACAGAACGGGTAGTGCCTTTCTTTTTCCCCCCACGTTGGCTCCCATTTTCAGGCCAACAGATTTTAATTTCCTACTTTAATTAATGTAAAGAAAGTTTTGTGAACTTTGATTATACATTTCTTATTCATTACTGATTTACATTACAGAATTATTTTTTTGAAGGACAAATGGCAATAATTTATGGAGGGATTGATTTCCAAAATCACACCTAACCGTTGTTCCGCACTGACGAGTTCTTTTTCCCGTAGAGCTGAGAGCAAAGTTCGACCAGGGGGAGGATCCCATGGATCCAGAGAGCCAGCAGGCTCAACATCATCATCACTTCCACGGAGGCCACCAGGGCTTCCAGGGCTTCAATCCGTTTGGCTCCGGATCCTTCAACTTTAAATTCCACTACAACTGAGGACGCCGATACTCGGCAAAGCTGGAGCACATGGTCCATCTTATTTAAAGTGGAGATCACTGGAATGACTCTCACAAAGATGTGCAGCAAATTGTGTGTTTTCTTTTTTACTTCAGTGACCTTAATTAAATATGCATCTTTGTTGGTGAATAATACAACTTTGAATTCCGTTTGGGGAAAACCACCATCTGCCAAGTGTGAAGCTGCTTTTAACAAGTCATGTGTAACACAAGCATCCTTTCCAAGTATTGTACACACTATTGATACCCATTCTTAAGATTCAATTTATACATAGGTACAGTTCTATTTTTATATGAATGGAGTTCATTGAGATGTAAATAAAGACCTATTTATGTACCTTTTTTTTAAATGGAAGTGCAGGGAAAGTGTGATATAAGCAAAGGTTGCAGGAGGACAATTTTAAAAATGGCATTTAGAAATGCCAACTCTACATTCATACGTAAAGTGGTGCAATGGGGTTTTTTTGTTCATTGTTAGTCGGTCAGAGCGTGAATCAAACATTCAATGACCACATGGGGGATAACAGACTTTATTGATTTGGGGCACGGATTTGTTTTTTCCCCGAAATACCATAATAAACATTTGTTTCATAAGGCATAGTAAACGATGGGTGTCCTGTTAGCAGCAGCCTATTTGTATTTTTTGTTTTTTTTAAGATGGACAAAAAACAACCCTGGGCTCGGTTGAGCAGCAGCAACTTTGTTGTTCCTGAGACAAATAACTCTGGTGGAATTAGAATATTGAACAAATCAAACGTCATAGTGAAGCTGAATGTAAACATACCGTAATATGTTGACATCCTTCCTGATTTGATGGGCAACTTTAATCTGATATTCTTGTAGTGTCACATGACCTTTTAGGGACAGACAGAAGATCATTTGCTGTATAAGCGCCAGGTTAGTGAACAGTAACTTGAGGACAGAAGGGAAGTTATTGGGATTTTTTTAAATTAAAAAACTAAAACCCTTCCAAGCCTCATTTATTGAGTTGAATCTTTCCTGACATAAAAAAGCAACATCCCCAACTGATACCTGTGATTATGATTCAAATTCTACCAAACGTTTTCAACTTACTGAAACAGCTGGACGTGGATCACATTATATTCAAACTTTGCATGGAAAAAAATAAAGGCAATTAGCTACCTGTTTGATAGTGATGAGGAAAATCAAGCCGCGACATGGAGGCAGGATAGAAGCTCCTCTGCATGTAAAATGTACCTTTAAGACCCATCTTTTGATGTAACTGTCTGTTCACATTTTTATGCAATAAAAGATTAAATAAGAGAACGCTGAACAAAAATCAACTAGAAGAAAAAAATGTTTATCCCTTCTCAGAAATGAAGTGACGGTCAAATGTTACAACATTACTGCATGTATTTTTTTAATAGAATATTTGAGAAATTTACTCTTCATTAAATTAAGAACATCTAAATGATCAGCTTTTGGAAACTTCTGTAATAGCAAACATCACACTTGAGATTAGGTTGTTTGACACGTGCCTTCATTCTATTCTTTGCATACATTATCAGTGCAAAATAGGTCGACGTTTTTTGGGAAACACAAAAACAATTGATTGACTTCAGCCTGGGCTCCGATTCTCCGAGCCCCGACCGTTGTACCGACAGCACCCCACAAGTCCACAGTTAACACTTCCGTCGTGTGTTAATTTTGTAAGACTTATTGACTGCAGAAGCAGATATGGCATCTCTGAAAATATCCCATCGTGCTCCGTCTGGGGATGCAACGCTCCGCGGTTATGTTTAGATGGACGCGTCTGTCTCCAATGCTTCACAGGAGGCGTGCTGGAAAAAGGTGCTGCCTCCTTCGTCCTCCACAGAGGGACGCTGGCAGGCGCTAAAGTTCATCCCGCCTGTTGTCTGCCGGGATGAGATTTGGGTGGAGGTTGGAGAGAAATGATGACAATGAGCAGAGTGGTGAGAGAGAGAGAGAGAGAGAGAGAGAGACACACACATTTGGCCAAGAAAAAAAAAAAGATCATGCAACATTACATTAGATATTTGGACTTTTCCGTCTTATAAAGGAAATGGAAATAAGTTGTTTTTCTTTAGGAACCTTTTTCCTGTAGTGGAGAAGGAGTCTGTCCTTGTGTTGCCGTGCCGTCCTGCTCCTGGACTTGTCTCAGGAGCCGTTTTATCTCGTTGTCGTATTCAACCCACTCGGGCACAATCCTCGCTGCCGCCGTTAGCTTGGGCTCCTTGGTCTTTGGGTTGTTGCACTGCAGCAAAAAGAAGCAGACACGGCACATCGTTTGCACCACCAGCACCACTTTCTCAGAGGAAACCATATTGTCGTTGTCATCGCTGTCGGGCACAAGCATTTGAACCTAATTTGATTGCTCATTATCTTAGCCATTAGCCGACATCTTCTGTCTGAATTACCAAGTGGAGCTCCATACCACGATGAGACAACGCGTCCAATTGCAGTCTGCTGGAGCCGGCCAGTAATCTCATAAATTAGTTTAGGAGACTACAAGTTGTCTTCTAAATGCCAAGTGCCTCGTGGACATTAGTGGCTGGGAACAAGCCCCGTCCTTTTAGTTCACTTCTATGACCAAGGAAGCTTTTCTTCAGCGTGGGTTTGTTTCAGAACTGTTATTGATCACGCAAATGTTTCAAAAGTCAAATAGGAAAGCAAACAAAATATATGGTAATATCTTAATAGAATGACAAAATGATTTGATGAGGAATAATGTACTGAATTGAGGTTTCCCCTTTAGCTTTCCCCTACCGCATTAGTGCAGATCCCATCGCCCCGGGACTCACCAGGTCTATAGTCTTAGCCGAGACTTTGGAGGCGTCATCACACCACGTCTCACACCACAACCACTCCTGCGGGAGGGACTTGATGGCAACCTGGTGGATCATGTTGTTGGGAAGGTCCTGAAAATATCACCAAAGACCAAAACATGAAAAAAGGTTCAATGTAAAAGTCACAACAGGTGCCAAGAAAGTGGAAACTCTGCATCACACAGTGCGATGATGTCGTCTGGGAGTTACATACCTGGTCCAGATTGGACAGGCTGTTTGGGTCTTGGCTCAGGGCTTGGTACTGGCCTCGTAATCGGTCTCCGGCTGCAATCTTTCGGAACTTCTTTAAATCTACTACATATAGAGCGCTGGTTGACATACACGGGGGGGGGGGGGAGAGGCAGAAGACATAATACGCATCTGTGAGACGTTGCACAGATAAATACCTCAGCCGCGTTCAGATAATTGTATCTGACGAGGCATATTAACGAGCCCGACCCAGTCGGCTGTGCGGTTTCACTTTGTAGATTTAGGCGTGCCTTGTGCTTTTCCCGGGGCTCGTTGACTCAAAGCATTCACCCTTTGTGCTGTGGTGCTGCCCCACAGAGCCAAGTGGCACACTGGCATCATACCGAATCCCTCTAGAGTTCTGCACTCTCTGTTCAACCGCCGGCTGCCACCAACATTAACAACAAGGGAGCAGTAAGTGCCCCGCGCCCTGCGAGGAGCCGCACCGCTTCCTCCAGACCTGCTCCTTGATGTCTGAAGCTTAAGAAATAACCATCAAAATTGCAACTAGAACTGGTGAGCTCCAATCTCCATGGAAACTGGATGAATGCAGTGCTGTAGTTTATTGTAGTCCAATTTATTTTTAATTACTAATGGTGTGTGTTTAATTGGATTTCAGCTTGCTCAAAAGAATTTGGGAAATTTCCCATGTCAACTGAGCACCTTCTTCCTTCTGTCATTTTCAGAACTTAAAATAATAATAATAATAATAATAAGGGAAAATAAAAGGAAAAACCGTATTCTTGCAGAATAACCAATAATCATATTGATAATTTACTGAGCGCAACCAAAATGTACAAGCAAAGATGATTGAAGAGGTTTTTTTCATGATTTTAAGGGATATGCTATGATTTGCAGTGTGGTCTCTTTTAGACTTGTATTTATTTGTAACTCCTTTGACTAAATACTATAGGAGAACATCAGAACAAAATCCCAGCAAAAGCGTGTGCTGCTTGGTTCCCCTTTATCTTTTCTACAGAAGCATACCTGATGTGGTACTTCCTGTGTCCTAGATGAGAGTTCCAGTAGCCGCTTTTCCAGAAGCGATAGCCCTCCATCTCCCCGCGGCTGTCGCAGAACGGCGTGTAGCCGTAAGGAGCGCCCTCCAGGTCGAAATCCCTCAAGTCCTTCAGATCGGCCCGAACTATCTGCGTAGAGAGCGGGAGAACGCCGTCAAGTACACGACGCCACTTCACCCGCTGCAGACGCCCACTTTCAGCCAGGTCGCCTGCGTTTGACCCTCACCTGGTCGGCGTCCACAAAGATGATCTTGTCCACGGCCAGCGGGAACAGAACGTCCAGGAAGAGGATCTTGTATCCCCAGATGATGCGCTGCTTCTCCGTCTGCTGGTGGAGCCAACGGGGCCACTTGTACTGCACCAGTTCGTACTGGAAGCCGTACTCCTCTGCCATGTGAGCGATGGTCTCCTGACCAAAAAAAGAGAGATAAAAAAAAAAAAAAAAAAAGAGGTCAGTTGAACGCGAGAAACTGCAGTATTTCACAGACAAAATCTTGTTACATCTTCAGATCTTGCTAAATGATGCTCAGTAGAAAATGATAACTGCAGATATTTCACAACAAGCAAGTCGTGATGTGAGCGAAGTACCTTGAAAGATGGAGAGAGGTAGTTCTTGAGGAACCAGAACTTGACGGGTGTTTCGGTGTGCCGGAGGACGGACAGCATCATTATTCTGAAACATACAAAAGGGGAACAGTGTTTGAAGGGGGAGGGGCGGCGGCGCGGGTGGAGGACGGGAGCAGCTTTGTGGGGGGGACGCGACCCACCTGAGGAAGCGCTCGTACAGGTGGCCCGAGGCCACGGAAAAGATGTTCAGAACGTCCTCCTTTGCCTTCTCTCCATCGTCCTTCTTTGAGACCCCACCTGTGATGCTGCAACGGAGAGCACGATACGCGAGACCCGTTAGGGGAACACAGGACTGCGCTGCAGGATTGCAGGTTGTTGCTCAGCAGAAAACGTTAGTGGGAAGAAAATAAAAATAAAAACGCTGCATGCAATATTGTGCAGCAGCTAGTGGAATGGTGGTAACGGAGAGGCAGGATTTAGAGGCGATTCAACAGTCGTTCTGCTGCTAAAGCAACATTTGTTGTATGGAGAGCTATAAAAGAGCTCTCCATACATGAAGGTCAAACTAGAATGTGGTGGATGATGGGTGATGTGGTCGCGACCCTTTGATAAAAGGATGAACGGGTCGTCCCGGGTGAGCAGCGAGACGTTTACAGTGTTGGCGATGGCGAGACAAAGTTCCTAACTGTAAGCTGGAAGACAGTGAACAGATTTGATCGGCACTAACTTTCAGAATACATTTATGTGAGTAAGTGTAATCAACATCTAGCTTACAGATGAGTGTCATTAAAACGATTTTTTAGATACCAGCAGAGATGTGAAGCTCTAAAAGGACACTCCCCACTACTGAGGAGAGGCAAAGCACTCTGCGGACAGAAGGCACGACTTGGCTGGAGAGGGGGCGTGTCTGCAGTCAAAATGTGTGTCCTTGTCGGTGAGACAGACTGCTGATGAGGCGTCTCTCCCAAACTCAAACCACAACAACCACAGCCTCGGCCCCCCCGAGGCTCAGGAGAGACACCAGTGAGTGAGACGGAGGTGGAAAAAGGAGAGAGGACCATATTGTTGGTCTCTACACGTCCTCTAAAACCAGCTGTGACACACACACACACACACACACACACACACACACACACACACACACACACACACACACACACACACGCACACGTGTCCTATCTGTAAAGCATAAAGTCAATGTGTCTCTGAAAACACTCTGGATCTCTCTCTTTCCTCGGTCTGCTTCTGTGTAGTCACCACACACACATCTGCCTGCTGTGACTAAGGGCCCCCAGCACTAAACCCCCCCCACGCTCTGATAAGCAGCTTTGCAGGTTCAGGTGAAAGCCTGTCTGGCTGACTCACTCGAGATAATCTGGACCTCTGGAAGGATCCACAAAGCTCAGGGTCAATCCTGAGAAGTGGACGACACTAAGCATACGGCATCCGACGGCGCCTCCTCCAACTCTGTAGGCTGGAAGCAGAATATCTCTCTGACTTCTGTGAGGGGATCATCTGAAGACATAAACAATGTGTGTGTGTAGGTGTGTGTGTGTGTGTGTCAGACTGCTGACGTACACCGCACCAAATTTAAAACAAGAAAAGACCAGAATAAATGATAGTTGAACTGGACCACAGTATCCAGTCTACAGTCATAAAGTACATGATAATAAATGAGTAACCATCACTCGACAGAGAGCTACTGATTTATTGCCAAATGTTTTCCCGGTCATACGCGGTAATTCTTAGGATTTGTTTAGTAGGCCTGTTTTTTAAATCATAAAAAAAAGCTCACTGATTAACTAAATACAAAAGCCTCACATCTTCTTTCCTTCCTTTACCACGCTGCATCCATCACCACAGGTCTCTTCACCATGGAAACCATCCTCATCACAATAACTCACAATCCTGTTCCATGGAGCTACAAAACGTGAAAATCTTATTTTAATTCGGCTAAAAGCCTCCGACAGAAGCGCTCTCAGTTCCTCCGAAGTCAGGCAGCGAGAGGAAATGCCAGATCCATGTTGTAAAAAAATCCCGCCACGGTCACTCTGCAGGGTCTTATGACTACTTTAACGGCCCCCTCCTCCCTGAACGGGAACCTAAATGATTCCCTCAGGTAACCCGGCCTGCTGACGCTGTATCGCACCCCGCGCGGCCCCGACGTTTCTGATCTCCGAGCGTGGAATAAAAAAAGGACATTAAACCCTCAAAGTTCCCCAGGCGGAGAGAAAACTTCCCCTTCATCTTCCTCCCAGACACACATGGAGAAGAGAGCGAGGCAGAATGCTCAAAACTGAGAAGAAAAATCGCAAAGACAAAAGAGAAAGATAGCAGGAAGAATCTATTTTCACTCAGGCTCGTTATTACTCTCCAGAGATGAAATATCTCTTTAAAGAGGAGAGAATTTCTGACAACGGTGTCACTTAGACTCTCCAGTGCAGAGATCCACGATTCATGTGTGGATCGATACGCCGCTACAGCAAAGCCCTCAAAGGTTACAGAGTAATGAGTGTAACAAGAGACCAGATCACCAATCAGTGTCCACACTAAGCCTGCTCCGCTCATACAAACCCTCCACTAATGTGTTGTGCAAACATTTACAAATATGTTATATATATATATATATATAACCGTGAGTTGTGTGAAAAGAAAATTGATGGATATTAACACAAATATTGTGTTGTTTGTTACTCTGGATGAATGGCGTTTTTAGTCACTTATTTTTATGATCAACATTTCCAAACCCGATGTTAACAGTGGGAATGTTATGGTTCTGTTTAGAGTTGAGGGAGAATATTTAGGCACCGTCGATGTTTGCAGTGGCTTCTGGGTCTGACTCTTGTTTTTGAAAAGGAGCCGATGATAAATAATAGAGTTCAGGAGCATGCCGATGCGAAAGGTTTAAGATCCATTTGTCCATCCACGCACTTTCAGCTCTGTATTTTTCATTGGTCTTTGCAGACACAGGTACTGAATGGGAGCCCAAACGTCGCCCTCACCAGCCATGGCATTAATACAAATTATGTTGATGGACAAATCGGATCATATCTGACAAAAATCAGTACATGTATGACCACATTAATGACAATGAGCAAATGCCAAAAAGGAACACACGGAAATGGGAGATGACATTTAAACAAAGCTACTACATTATTACTATATCCTGTTAGATAATCTCATTTAACTGTAAAAGCATCCAAAGCCATTGCGTGTCGACAGAAGTTTTAGGTGTCAAATGAGTCGCAGCAACACGGCCTACCTTTTCTCAAAAGTGCTCCAAACACTTGACACAGCGAGCATTAAGTGAAGAGACAGGATCACACGGTTAGGAAGGGTTCAGGAAACACACAGATGCAGGCGTGCACGCACAAACGCACACACACACACACATACCTACAGAAGCACATATTTTTTGCAAGACTAGCTCTTACAGCATAATAATGCAGCCTGGATCGAGGGGTGGAATAAGATCTCCTGAAACCACAACGTGTAATTGTTGAATAGAAACAAGTTGTTGTTGCCAGTGAGCTCAGGTGCCTTTTAAACCCTCTGAGGTCACATTTGGGCTGGATTTGTTTTAATGCTCACCTTGCGATAGAGTCCCATATGCCTTTGCTTTCACTATTTTCACTTAACAGATCCTCATTGATCTTCTCTGCCTTTTTCTGCACCTGCAGAAAGGGAAAGCCGACATAAAACTCTCGTTACAAACGGTGTACATTCAATGTGTGACCTGCCGAAAAACGTCCAGCGCTGTGAGGAACAAAAAACTCACTCTGACTTTGATGATTTTACTGTGGAAACTGTTGAGAACAACAACGACATCACCGGCGTCTGCGGGGGAATCGGCTCCATCGTGCCTAAAAAAAAAGAGGTGTTAAACGGATTTACTGCTGATGAGAATGAAAATAAACAATTGTGAAATGTGGTAGAATGGATCTGCAGCTGGTTGGTCCAACACCCCGTTCGATGACTGAAACTTCATCAACAAACTGGAGAATAAAGGTGTAACAGAGCTGACCACGTTCCTCCAGACCAATCGCTGCAATATGCACCTCCGTTCATCGCTGCAAATATCTCTATTAGCACGTACTGGTGCCCACGTGTTATTACATAAGCACTCACAGATCAACTCAACCGATCAGTCTAATTTTTTCGATGCAATGGTGAACTTAAGTGAGTTTGATTCTCATGTTTCAGCCTTGACAACAGCGGCGAGGAAACGCGCACCGTTGCATCGGCTCGTGAAGCTGACAGCAGCAGCTGATGGACGGGCCGCTGACAGACGGGGGAGAGATTGCACTTAAAAAGCGGATACTGGGACAGCTGCCACTGATTACCCTCCATCATCATTAAGAATCCCCCCCCCTCCTTCCCCTCCACCAATGGTTTATCACTACTTCCCATCCCTGCTGTATACACCGGTAGATTTAATTAGAAACTGAACCGTGTTGTTGGCTCAGCACTGGCCCTTTCACCGCAACGGTTTCAGCACTGATTTACCCGGTGGGGGGGGCGGGGGGGGAGGAGGGGGGGGGAGTCTTTGGGTCGCCAGGGTCCGCTGGGTCTCCTGGTGAAACCCCCCCCAGAGATCATCTTCAGGAAAGAGATGAGCAATGGCCTATAAATGCACAGCGAGCCATTATGACCGCGGTGCTTACTAAAGGACAAAAAAAAAACGGCCTGTATCACTGTGATAAATGCTCCCTCCTCATTGGGCCCCCGGTGCTGCTCGTGTTTTGCCCCCTCTGCCGACCCTGATGCAACTAAGCCTTTAGGCGCTTGCGTTAGAAAGCACCAGAGATCAATGCGTGCTCCAGGAAGGAGAGCGCCGGCCATCTCGTCCATCCCTGTCCAGGCGAGACGCGGTGGCAGCAGGGAGGGAAGAGGAAAACGCAGGCACGGGGAACGGAGAGCGCGGGCACTCCCACTGGACTCTGATCGGCCACCTAACCGGAGCAGAGCGCCGCTAACCACAAGAATAATGACACTGCCAAGGTGAAAAATGACATCACCTCTTAGCTTCACCTGGAGGATTGGGGAATAAATCTTAGTCGTCTGATATGATTCCAGAGGAGCCGAGGGCTGTATGTGTCCTAAATCTTACGTGGGGATACCGGAGAAGAAAATATCTGGGTTTGTAGGGACGACTAATGTGCTACAGCAGACCACGCAGACTCACATGCACGGTCAGCCATTAGACAGAAAGAGAGCATTACATCTCTGTCAAGTAGGAATGATTTAACGAGGCAGGAGTTCCTTTGAGGAGTAAGAATTTGATTTGTTTGAGAGCAAAGTGGGAAGCTCCACGGAACATTCTAATTAAAGTTTAAGTGTGGAATTAACAGAAGGCGAGGGAAATGATGTTTTGTGCAAAAACGCATCAAAGCACAGTACCGTTTCGCTTTTGTCCGGGGAAATTAGACAACCGCCGACGCACTCGGCCTGGCACAAGGAGCCTTTGACACCTACGCCGTCCAAACGAAAACACATTCTACTGCTGATATTTTGCTGTCTGGGTTGGATGGCATTGGAGGTGACCAGCTGAATCATCGCTTCGCTCCGTCTTCTCTTTAAGAGCATCCCTCTCCTCCCACTCGTCTTTCTCCCAACTGTAGCCGGCAGAACTCCCTGTGCTCATCAAAACCTTGAACTGCCACAGTGTCAGCAGCCCGCTTTGTTGCCATAGTGATGGGTTTCATAGCTACCGGTGTGAAACGCAAAGGTAGCTGAAAACAACCTTCACGCTGGGCTGCCGGCGTGAAGCCGCCTAATCAGAATCATTACCTCAGGTTCCTTTGTCAATTGACATTGACGGCAATAAGGAGTGAGTCGGGAAACGGTAAAAACAGTCCGCAGACGGCGGGGAATACTCACGAGAGAATCTGATAGATGTCCTCCGATCTCCCTTCACGTAGCTTTAGGATCCAGGCACCGGGATTGGCTTTCAGCTGGAAATATCCCTGTTGTGGTCGAAACGGCAGGGGTCTGAGCATTTAATACACACAAGACGCATTCTGTTCCAAACATACTTCTATGACATCATCAAACAGCAAAAACACTAGTGAAGCCAATAAGACTAATAAAACTCTTGGTGAGGCTACGGACCAGGTTAGCCATGACGATGGTGTCGTACATGAGCGGGTCCCGACTCATGCCCAGGGTGAACTGCAGCCCTCGGGGCGGCTGGCCCGTCGACAGGTCAAAGCAGTGGCCCTCCAGCAGAAGGTGCTCCAGCTCGTACTCTGCAGCCACCGTGCCGCTCACCTGGAGAAAAAAAAAACGCGGGTTACCGAGGAGACGGAACAAGAGGGGGGTGGGATGCGAGAAGGAGACTGAGAAGCCAGGTACCTCCTGGAGGTGGATGTTATCCAAGTCGTGGGGGCTGCGGACGGCCTGCACCATCCAGCTCTCCGGTGTGATCATGATGAGGGTGAGGAGAGGGGATTCTGGGAGCTCCAGGAAGCGGGCGAGGGGTCCAGGAGACACCGTGTCGTTGCCCAAGAAACTGACGTCGGACTCCAAGACGAAGCGGTAGAAGCTGGGAAAGCAAAGAGAATAAAAGGATCACAACGCGTCTGTGCGGCAAATAACAGCAAATTAACACAGTAACCGAGACCATTTTGAGTCCTGAGACGGCGGACGTCCGGCAGGACATTTTGCCACTGGAGTCAACAATTCTATCCAGCAAGCACTGAAAGGATGACATATTGTGAAATGGTCTACTTTCAGGCACAAGGGAGAGAGGCTCTGTTGTGACAGCTAGGAATATACAATCTCCTCAAAGTAAAGAATCTAATACTATTACCGCCAGGGTTCCTGCTCGGACAATAGAAATGTGTGTGTGCGCTGGGTTTTGCACCAGAAAGGTCCCCCTTCTTTGTATTTTTTTTTTTTTCACTCAGAGCGGTCACAGACCTAATTGCTTTTCTTAAGTGCGCCTGTTGACACCGTGGAGTCATAACCGGGCGCACAAATCAAATGAACCTGGAATGAATACGTCCACAAAGAGGGTTGGTTAAAATCTGTCAACGCATATTTCATAGACAACTTTATAAGCTTTCTACGAGAGGTGTGAAGAAGCATTTTGAAAAAGGATGAGCATCTGGTGAAGAGCTGAATTCACTGACAAAATATATACTCAAATGAAGATATTTAAGACCACCTGTAAATTTGCCATGTTTGTATAATCAGTAGACATTTGTTTTTATTTAGTAAACTTAGTCACGTGACCACACAAGCCAGATTAGAGCCAATAAAGTTACAAAATTCCCTCGCAGATGCTTTAGGGTGAAGCTAAGTACAGTTTTTAGAAGAAATCAAATTAAAAAACACTGCAAATTACATAATGACTAACATCAGCGGTGTGAACGTTAATGGTCAATTTAAACCTTTAATTTGATGTTCTTATTCATCTTTTTTTTTTTTTTTTTTACACGTCTTCAACCACAACAGTGCGAGCAGTAAGCGATTTGCCTAGAGATGCCAGCGGAGGCCCCAAGCAATAAGGTGGTGTTATTAAGTAGATTACATCAGCGCAGCATATTCTTACAAAGGGAAGGAGCACTGCAGAGATGTTAAGTCTGCAGCGGCCACAGGCTGCACAAACTAAACTGGAAAATGTAATTACGGCGGGAGCTTACCTCTTGAGGGGCATCTCGGACAACTTGGCCCGGCAATTCATAAACACCTGCAGTCTCACGTTGACCACTTGGCTGAGCACCTGCAGGAGTCACAGAGGAGGAGACCCAGTTACACAGAGCGGCAGCAAAAGTAGAGGCCGCCTCACGAGAGGGTTACCGGGTGTCGGCCTTCCGCTGGACAAAAGGCCGCAAGAAGCTCACAGTCGTTACTCTCGTCCTACCGAGACTTTCAGACAGTCTTGAGCGAAAAAGGCACTTACACGTAAGTAGCATGTTACTCGATTTGATTTGAAAAGGCCTGGTGAGTCATATTTTGATATTCTCCCAAGTTCTCAAATTCTTCACCTCGGCGAGCCTCCAGCAAAACGCAGCAGACAGCTAATGGGATTGAGTAGTGTTGGCCCACTGAGGGAACAGTTTCTAAATAACCTGCATTGAATACGCATACATGTTTAAGCTCAAAATGACACTTTCCCTATTTCAGCGACTGACAGTGAAAAGCTGCAATATCTTTCATCATAACCCACGTGTGAAATGTGACCCGTTCTATCTGAGCGTTTGCACTTTCAGTGAAAGTGCTTTTAAAGCGTCCCTGTGGCATCAGCGGTCGCTGGAGAAGAATGCAGCTTACGATCAGCAGATGGGACATCTTCTGCGCCTCCCTCGACAGGGGGTCAACAATGGCCACGACGTCGTAGAAGACCTCGTTCTCACGCGGGGAGAGGAGGAGCACACTGAGGAGGAGACCAGCACAGCGAAGCGGTGACACAGCGCTCGTCCATCCATCCATCCATCCATCCATCCATCGGAACGTTACCCACCTGTGGCTGTCTTGGACGAAGTGGACATCCCTCCTGACCTCTCCCTGGGGGGCTGCGGTGAGGAGGGCGTCAACCTTCATCACCAAGTCACTGGCCCTGAGGGGAGAAGACACCATCATATATTTAGGGCTGCGTATGAGGAGAGAGGTCAAACAGAGGAGCCTCATCAAACGGATGTCACACGGTTAACGAGTTAACCTCATAAATCAATTAAAACTCTAAGTAGAAACTGATGTGGCGGATGATTGCTTTTAAACACAAGAGGAAAGTGTCAATAGGTATCACACATTATAACCACTATTGTCATTATCACTTCATCGGGGGAGGAGGATGCAGGAAAATACAAACGTACTGCTTTGCTTTCATTCCCATCAGTTTAACTTTAGCTTTGACTTTCTCTGCAGAAGCGCTCCGTGTAATCTTCTCCAGCAGCTGGAAATCCTCCGCAGTGAATTCTTCCTGCTCCTCAAATGGGCCGAGTATCTGGAACGAAGACAATAATGCAGTCGGAACACGGCTCCTCAGACTCCTATCTGAGCCGGTATTACATCGTTTACTACTTGCCAAGGGAGTGTAAAAGGCTGTGTGATTGTAACAAGGGCGTTTCATTCACTTTAAGTCATGCTTTTCTGTGACGGGGCCTTTGTTCTTTCCTCCCCTCTATTTCTGGAGTCCTGCCACTGCAGCAGTGGGATGTAAAATGATATTAATTGTTACTGCCATCTCAGAGGCTGCCCTCTTCATCCGCGGCTGTCAGAATCCCTGCTGCTGAGACATCAGTCATCAGCTCTGTGCGTGCATACAGACCCTCCCGCAGACACACACACACACGAACAAGGCAGTTTGTGCCACCTGTCACCTATAAAAGGAACGTTCGTGCCGATTTGGCGACACAAAAAAAAAAGGGAGCTCCACGAAAACATAAGAGGGAAAAATCAGTGCAGAGTGCAGCGGCTCGGAGGAGCAACGAGGAAAGTTGTTATTATTACAGAGACGTCTAAGGGTCGATATTCTCGAATAACGTCAAAAGGCCGCTTACCCTGCCGTTGCTGATCACTGCCTGCTGCCCCGGGCTCAGTTTCAGGACATCGCGACAAAACAGCTGCTGACTACGAATAAAGTCCACTTCCAGGGTGTTGAACTTCTTCTCGAAGGCATCTCTGTCCATGCCCTGCAGCGGGTTTAAAAACACAGGTTTGTACTGGATGTGCATGAACAGCGAGACCCGACAGAGCAGCTCATGGACCGTTCTCCCTTAAACAGCTTGCCCAAAACGGAATCGGAGTGATCCATTGGTGTAAGGAATGATGCATGCGAGGCAAAAACAAATAAACCGTAACATCATTGATGCCCCACATCAACGCAATCACTGAAGTTTTGAAACGGGAAATATTACAGCCAGAGGACCGAGCCGTCAGAAACGCACCAACGAAAATGAGATTAATCAATTTGTAATTAATACGGCAAACTCTTAATTAAGCCTCGACTATTTTTGTCCATGACAAATCAAGCGCAGGAGTGTGAACAGAGTTTGTGCGGTCGGGTTATTAGTTTCTTCAGCAGCTCTCCTCAGGAGAACAGGTGAAATAGCAATAATGTCAGCACGATCCAGTCAGCAGGTCTGTGTGGCAGCCAATAATAAACTCATGTCCCTCGACTCGGGCTCTCAGCTCACACGGCCGCCTCCTGCTCATCTCCCCGTCGCTATTTCCAGCCCCTTCTCTCACCGTCGTTGAAGGCTGGTATAATTGAAGGGCAGTTTTTTTTTGGTTTCATGGCTTGTCGGTCCCAAATGTAAACGGTCCGGTGTGACGGAAGAGACAGGAGCTCTCCCGTCAGCTAATTCGACGATAGGCGATGCTGAGTGGGGGGGTGGGGATTCACTGCCGGGCCACAGGCCACCGGCCGTGGACTGCTTACAGTAGCAGAGCGATGGTCAGGCTCGGCTGAGCACATGCGGCTCGTGAGCAAGGAGCTGGACGATATATGTATCGGGTCCCGGAGCCCCACCGGCTCTTTGGATTTAAAAGATGCGGCGTGTGTAGCCCGCCTGGTGCCGGCCTCTGTGACGGATCAAGTGGAACTGACAGTGAGTCGGTCGCTCGCCTCGGCATCCACAGGCTGTGGAGCGTCACGCGCGCTCTAAATGTATTCAGTTTGTTGGTGTTGGGGAGGGGACCAAGAAGAGGGGCTCATCAATCACCATTTTCCTCGACTCCGCACTTGAATCAAGAGAGCAACAGCGGACGGATCTTCTCCGAGTGGTGACACGCAACCTTTCTTTGTTCTGTTTTTTTGAAAAGTCATTAATGCAGAGAATTTCCCGTATTCAATGACGCAAAGGAACCGACTTAAAAATACATACAAACATTTAAATAGTAACCCCCCCAAAAAATGGTATTTCTTACTTTCAACACAACAACACTTATTCTGTAGCCCTACAAATCTTTTAGGACTGGATGATATTACGCTATATTGGTATGCTATATTACGCTAAAATGAATTTCTAGCTGTAAGCTGTGACACACGGTGTATATTGAGGTAGTGATCCCTTGAATATCTCTGCTTGTGTTGGTCCATGGAAGGCACTGTTGCAAATCAGAGAGCATGACTGTTTTATGGCCGTGTTGGATTTATAGGATTTAGCAGCAGTGTGATGAAGTACCTCAGATACTGTACCACACAGATTCAGGCCGAAATAGACTTGCATCCGTTTATTTTAAGTTTAAATAATTAATCCATGGATTAGATTATAAACTATTTCACATATATTTATATTGTAACCTGAGATTACTTAAACCATTTGATCCACATGGCCCATCCCTAGGAAACTATATATTTGAGCATTGTTTAAGTAGCCTTTCTTTACTTTGCTGGCCGTGGTGCTTCTGCCACATTCTTTTCACAATAAACCAATATTCGTGATTCATTCACCACCTCAGGTCAAAAGCATGCATAAGCATGCAACACATAATGTAATTGTCTAATCAGCGTCCACCGCTGGCATGAAGAAAAAGGCTCTGCTGAGATGTGTCAACGCATGCATGAAACAAACTGTGGTGGTAGATGGGAGACATCAAACGTATTAAAAAAAGGCTAATTAATTGTAATTGTAACTGGTTATTGTCGGTGTATGCTTAAAGGGCTTCTGGGGTTTGACTTGTTGCTTACCAAATATCTTACTATTTATATAAACACATCAATATGATACCATTTTAATAGAGATAATTATTCTCATATTCTAATTCTTTAATCGCTCCGTTACCTGCATCAGTAGCTCCTTCATCTTGGTCCCCTTTTGGAGAAGCAGAATACTCTCCTCTCTCAGGAGCTTTTGCACAAACTCAGCTGCAGCCTTGTTCTTCTGGGTGAGGAGCGAGGCCCAGATCGCCCTATACAGCACGCTGTTCTCTCCGCTTGGCTTTCCGCTGGGGTTATCGATCACCCCAACACGCACGCCAGGGCTGACCTTCTGCTTACACACACACACACACACACACACACACACACACACACCCGATACATACACCACACACAATAAAATTCACACTAAATTTCCACAGACCGCGAGTGTTGATTGCTTAAAAGTAACAGTAAAGACTTTTCCTTTTCTTCTCACTCTAGCAGTATAACAGAAAAAAGGCCTGTCTGCTGTATCACACATAATTCATCAGTGTTAACAGGGAATATGTAATTTTAGAGGCATCTGTGTTGATGCTTTTTCAAACGGTATCATGCAGAGAATTCCTATAACGGTTCAATTGGCCCATTCTAAATCAAAGAAACAGTCTCAATGTAATTGATCTATTCTACTCTGAAGTATATATATAGATTTACAGCTGCAAAGATTGGTGTCAACGACGGGCAAACGTGAAAAACGTTGTTCATTCAACGATACTCACCACACGTTTCAGAGCACCGAGCAACAGTTTTCTTCCGGAGACCTTGTCAAAATCTCCGACTATCCACATGGTCACGGCACTCATCCCGTCCTCATCTAAGGCACAAGAGCAATGACTGTGCTGCACTCTCAACTCTACAGACACGTCAACATATGTACCACATTGAAATGCATCAGGGCCAGTCTGCGTGGCGAGAGTACTGGTGGAGGGCAAATGTATTTCAGAGTAGTTTTCTGCCTCATCGCGATGAGAATCAGATGAACAAACGAGGTACAGCGGCTGTTCAGTTTGTGTGCAGGACGTGAGAGAGGCCGAGACATCTGCCGCGGAGCGCCGTATGTCAGTTGAGAATTGGGACACTCGTCATTGTTATGTAACCCCCTCCCCCGCCCCGCCCCCACCACCACCCCACCCCAGTCATTCAGTCAGTTAACTAGTCCAGCCTCCTGTTCCTCAGAGAGACAGCTGCATAACGGGCCTGAGCAGCCAAACGCAGCTCTGACCACCATTTACAAGTTTGGCCGATAGCCAGTCAGCAGAAACGGCAATTACCTCGCTGGAGGCGCAGCCTGTCTGCTTTAACTAAGGTCAATTTCACACTTTCTTGGATCCGTAAAGCAGTGTGGGATGGATTTTGCTCAGACAGCCCTCATCTGACAGATTTTCAACAAGTGAATGCCGAACAGTTGTTCCAGCTTACACGACAAAACGCAGATACTCGGCTAAGTGATTCAGATCGCCGCGAGTAGTCTTCCTACTGAGCTCACCGGCATTTGTAAAGTACTTCATTCTCTTAGCCACCACAGCGGTTTTGTCTCTGGAGTCGTAGTAGGAGAACATGGTCGTGTCCTCCCAATCATCTACAACTGCAAAGCAAGAAAGGGAAAGTTGAAGTCAGAGTGAGGAATGCAGGCGGCGAATCGATAGCGGTTGCTGAGCGCCACAGGTCACCTGGTTTGCCAGTGAAGTCCAGGTACTTCCTGTCAGTGCTCAAGATAAGAGGGTTCATCCTGGGAACCACGTTGGGCTGCTCCATGAGATAGTCCACCACACTGGAGCCTTCAGTCAACTGACCCTGTCAGCGCCGGATGAAAACAGTCGAGGGAACATCAATTCAAAACGAAAAGTGAACGTCGGTTCAGCCAAAATTCTGAACGGCCAAAGGAGAAGTTTGAGCCCCTCCAAATGCAAGAATGTGTAGGAAAAAGGTGTTAATCATACACTATTAACTGTGCTATTTATCTACAAAAGGTGATGCTGGCTATTTGTTATTAATGATTTACAAGATTATATTAAACACGCAGCATATGCTCAGTTTTAAGCACATTCCCTGCTGTTGCAATAAACCTAATATCAAGCTTATAATAGCCTCAGGGTAGCATGTGAATTATTCCTTGCATGAATACTATAAACCTGGGTGAACTGCAGTTGGTATAATTATCTGGAGTTTCATTTCTTCAATTCATGCATCGATGTGTATATCTAGATACATATTCATCTAGTTTCTCCCCCCGGTAATAAAGAAGGTGTAGACTTGGCAGGTTGAATCTGAAGCGCGTCGGACACGTCGTACCGTGAAGACGGCCCTCTGGAAGGTGGTGGTGGTGTCCATGATGCGCTGCAGGATTATGGTTTCCAGCTCCTCCGGGTCCATCTCATCGGGGCTCAGCGGCACGCCGTTAAATAAAGCCAGCGGGAGGGAGCCGAGGCCGCTCTTCTTGTAGAAGAGGGCCCCGTCCTGCAACGTGCAAAACATGGTTGGATTCTTGGATCCTCCTATTAGTTGTATTTAATAAGTCATTATTTGAATTTCCGATAAAGAGAGAGAAACAAGTGACAGCTATTTGGTTTTCTTACCTTCCTCTTGTCATCATACTCTGACTCCACGCCGAGGATCCTTTCGGCGTTGGCTTTGGGGAATTTTCTCTTGAGGTAGGCAGAGATTGCATCAACAGACAGCATCTCCCCTGCCTCTACTTTGTTGTACATCTGCAAGAGAGTGGTCATATCAGATTTTGATCACTGTCTCCGCGGCTGTCAATAATTCCCAACTCTATTTGAAAAATCCCAGTGATTCATCTAGTTCAGTAATGTCTCAACCCACGAGGACTCAAGGCACAATAAAAGAACTGACTTATGGACAGATATGAGCTGGCGAGGAGTGTGCTTTAGTTATTCTTAAAGAATTGCTTTCTAAAACAACAGAGATTTATGAATGCAATATACTCACTGAGACCATGGACATCAGAGTCTGGGATAAATCATACTCGTCTGCAATGTAATTCAGCACCCTAAAAAATCCAACCCCCGCCTCTGAGAAGCCATCAATCTCATCTTCGGTGTTGACAACAAACACAAAGCCAATTCTATAGAAGGGGGCAGAAACAAGTGGTCAATTTGTAGCTGAGATGACAATCACTACCTGGTTAGGATCCTAAATGTCAAAAGAGGAGCATACAAACAGAACAGGGGATGTTACTTCATAGGAGCACCAACCTCAGGGGGATCTTGTGCTTGTAGAAAAGCTCTGCTAGTTTCACCAGCTCAACACTTTCTGGCCTTACTGGATCTAGGAACAGCACCTGACAACGACAAAAAGAGCCGGCACATAGCAGATACATGCGGTGCCAAACAGGTCTGACAAGTGTCAGGTATTAAAATGTACTCGGTGTTCTTTTCTGCGATTGTGTGTACAACTGTAGCACCTTGAAATTATTACCAACACACAACACTTGATGATGGAAACCCTATTTTATCAGCAAATAGGAGTCAGAAGCATCCGAAACCTTGCAGAGACCGTTCCCGACGCCCTTTATCATCAGACACCCTGCAGCCTCTCTGGCCGTAAGGAGACTCACCAGGTTGAAAAGATTACGTCGGATCTGCCGAATGACTCCAGGAAAAGTGGCTCGGAGGAGCTCCTGTACACCCATTGGCCAGCTGCCGTACACCGGGTCATTCTCTATGTCATTTATCCACTGGAAAGAGCATGACAAAACAAGGAGGGCTTGTGTGAGAAAAAGTTAGGTAGAAGCAACGCTGAGAAAGGCAGAGAGTGAAATACCTCACTCAAGGACATTTCTTGCTAGTAGATGTTTTAGATTTCTCATATCAGCCACATAGTTTGTCCTATTCTGATAAACAGCCATGATAAGTGCTGGGAAAAGGGCATGTATGCTTGGCAGGTGATTGGATGAATACAGCTCCTGTCGAAACATGTCAGAAGAAGAAGGAAAACATCTTTTCTTTAGTCAGTATTTCTCTTTGCTCATCTGTAAATGAAGAAATAAACTCTGGCTTCTCCGCAGCCAGACGAGATTGATTTTCGTGTGCCATGTGATCTAAAAATTCCCTTGTGATCTTGTGGCAAGAATCAAGCTGCCGTGCAAGGATGATACTGATGAAGGACTAAGAATACCTACAGTCATTCCCAAATGTTGGGTGTTCAACACTCGCATCACAGTAACTGCACCCTGTAAAATGTCAATCGGTTCACTTTTAAAATGATCATCTCTTTCCTCTTTCCAATAAACAGGTAATATCGGGCATACCGGGGAACAGTTCCGTGGACGGATATATGCTGGAGCGGATGTGAACATTTGTACATTGTTATAAAGCACCGTCATCCACAATCAGTGCGCTCTTGGAAATGGCTTTTTATGATAAATGACCATAATCATAGTTGCAAAATGCTCCATCATTGCAGGCCAATCTGGCACCAACCACCTTTCTAGCATTCAGTAACTTATCCTACAAGCCCCCCCACATGTTCTCAGTAACGAGAGGAGGGATGTGCGAGCTGAAATGACGGACCTCTTGATTGAATGTGGAAAGGCGGAAATTCTTCAGCATTTTTATAGCACCTAGAATATTGTAATGGCTAGAGGGACCAAAATGAAACGGTTTTCATTTGAGAGCTGGTCTTGGCTGAGTCCCAATTAATACCTGAGGTTCCTGGGAGGCTCTGACTGTTGCACGAATACACTTAGTTCACACCCTGGTACACAAAAGAAAAAGAAAAAAAATGGCCAGAAAAATACTGCTCTTCGACAGGACTTACCATTATAGCTGGATGCCTGATGTCTAAGGCGTATCTGTCATCCACAGCGTTCACAGGTAACCTCAGCAGCTTGCCTTGATGTTCTCCTTTTATGCCCAGGTTATGAAGCCCTTCTAAGACCCTGGCCTCTGCTCGCAGGACGTCTAAAATGCTATGAATATAAAATCAAACGGTTAGTGTTTTAGACACATTAGTTGTATGCCAGTCGCTCTGCGGGGCAATAAACTCTGATCTTGTTGCAGCAGAATGACTGAGCCGAAGCACAGGCGGACCTCCCCCCCCCGGCCTGCGCACTCCTGCCGGGTGCCTACCTGAAAGGGTTGTGAACGTCCAGATCGATGTGCAGTCCGTTAATGAAGAGCTCTCCGTCTCCCGGGTGTACACCAATGGACTCACTGAGACGCTGTAAGATCAAGCTCACACTCTTTAGTGGAATGCTGAAACCCCCAAACGAGAGATTCTAACGAATGGTTCTAAAAAAGAAAAGTGTGCAAACGGATCCTACAGCGGTTAAATGAATACAGTATGCACAGATAACATTTTATGTTGTTATGAAATGTTGTTTATTCCCAATACTGATTACAAACAGACAGTCTAAAACAAAACTGCAACGTCTTACGGTGTTATCGGACTATTGTGTGGAAGTGCTGCTTATTAAGTCGCACCTTTTGGTTTTCCTCAATTTCTTTTCTCATTTCCTGCGTAACGGCCACTTTTGTCAGTGATCTGTGGGAACAGTAAAACATGTACAGCCACCATCAGCTTTTACCGCATCCCAAGCCGGCAGTAAAACGCCAGTTTTAATCTCCAAAAGCATATGGGCTCCCGGTGTTATGTTTTCAGTCAACTCCCCATAAACACCAGACTCTTACTCAGCATGATTTTGTGCTTTTACAAGCTGCCTGAGACAAAATGAGCAGACATCAAAAAGCTGATTAGATATCCGTGTCAAACGTGCATTTCGTGGATAATGATAAAACGAATGGGTTTCTAAAAACACATATTGCACGTGCACTTTAACAACGGCGTTGGTCATTACTGGATTCACAGACACAGAGGAGGGCTTCTTAAAATATGAATTTTGGAATGGTACCAAATGTGTTCGCCAGTCAGCCGGAGAAGAAAAAATTAGATGAATTTCCTCACCTGGCTTCGCTCGGGAAGTTCTGACTGAGGTCTCTCATGAGCTTCAAAGCATCGAACTTTGGCACGGACATGATTCTGGCAGCTGCCTGGACACTAAGATCTGAGGAGATGAAATAAGGAAATCATCAGCGTCTATATCTACGAATGCACATGGTGTTTCACGCAAGTTGAATCAAAGTAGAGCAATGAAATTAGATGACAATTCTTTATGCTGATAAACTTAGCAACCGCTAGTCAAAAAATAACAATTTAAAATGAAAACATCTGGACCAACAGATGGTATAATGTGCACTACCTCAACAGCTAAAACAACAAAATTGCAGTAATTATACCGTTTTCTGTCATCTTTCTTTTGCCTACAATACCAGTGAACAAGTGAGATAAAAAGTAAAAACATACCTTGCATCTCCCACACTTTGAGAGGAACCATGTCATCTGTACTCTCGAGCAGATGTTTGCGAAGCTCGACCAGTTGCTGCTTGAGTTCAGGGTGAGATTTCCTTAGGAGGAAATTGAAAAGGAATGAGATGTAAATACAATTACGGATTTATTTTCATCTCTCTCATAAAATCAGCACAGCAGCCAAAACGGAAATCACAACAGATAATGTGAAAAGGGGGGCAGAGATGCTTACTTTAAGGTTTCAAAAACAAACCCTTGGACTTCCTCGCTATCGTCTTCCTCAGCGTTTCCACCTGAATCTAAAAAGCACAAGAGGCTGGTTTTGTTGCCTTGTACAAGGTGAAATCCAGCAAGCAAAATGTTTGCCAGGCCACAAACTGACCTTTCACTTTGGTGTCGTCCACGGCTTTGTATTCGGTACTTTTGATAGCCAGCTCCACACCGTACCCAGACAACAGCATCCTCCGAGGCTTTGGATGCTACGAGCAGCGGGAGGCGGGGAGATGGCTTTAATGTAGAACCCGTTTACGTGCATATTTCGTGGAATAATAATCATCAACATAAATCTGCATGCTACCCGTGATCGGACGCCATCTTTCCACTAAGTTAGCCAGTGTTCTGGTCTGGCAGACTAATGCCACAGAGCGGATGCTTAAGTTCAGTAATTGTGAAACGGAAACGCCCGGGAGCAACGACACCTAAGCTGCACACAAGTGGGCTGAATGCCGACTCCCAAAGAATTATCTTGACTCGCGGGCTGCAGCAGTCACAGCCAGAAGAAGAAGTGCCTCGGGAAGCGACGTAAATACACGATCAGCACACGTGCCTCTGGACTGTGGAGCAAAAGGGGGATCGTGATGGAAACGTGGCCGTACCGAGAGAAGAGGAGCCACCTGGGCTATTCTCATTCGGTTTAGGACACTAGTCAGTGAAATTTAGAATCTATAATGTGTTTTACCAGAAGGAAAAACAACCACCACATGGGCCCCCACGACTTTTCCCCGAGATTCAAAGCATTGCCTCGTGCTTTTACCGGCGCAATGAGAGGTCTTTCACGCCCACATTCTGCTTTTCAAAACCGACATCTTAGAAGGAAAAGGCAACTTTTACTGCATGAATAGCATCTGCATCAAGGTTAGTTTTTGTGTTTTCAGTTTGAATTAAGGATTCTACTAAAAAGAAAGATATTTCACTTCAACTGGACAGTCTAATATAGGGAAGATGACCAAATCCAATGAATGGGCTAAATAGTGTAGTATAAGTACAGTATATAGTATAACTTAGCCCTGAAATCGCTCACTTGCAAAGTAAAGACACAAACACAAAGTTATATTGATGACTTTTCAGAGTCTAACAGGGAACCAGATTGTTGATGAAAAACATTTCAGCTGTCGAACATTACTTTAAAATAGCTACAGAAGAACTGCAACTCACCGCTACAAAATGACGCAGCACGTATACGAGTTTTCCCCCTTCAGCCTTCTCCGACAGCACCTTATGAAACGAGGTGAACTTCTTGGTTCCAATCTCAGCATAGAGGATCGCGACCGGCACATCCGTTGTATTGACCCCTGGATATGTGTGCTCATTCTTGTGTAAATACGGTTTTGGTCTGCAAACAATTGAAAATGTCATTAATGACTTCTCTTGAATAACATGTTTTTAAAAAGCAACGTTGTTTATGAGAAAAATAACTGTATTGACTCATCATATTGGGTATTGAGTATATCCACAGAGGGGAGGGGAGCACTTTTCTGTGTTACCTGCCTGCAGCTGCCTTCAGGAGCTTCTTGATGTCTTTGGTACTGCAGCTATGTTGACCATGGATGGAGACAAAGGCGGGGCACGCCTCAGGCGGGCCCTCGTCACTGGCGATCTGTTAAAGAACATGAAGGAGCGAAGGAATGCTCTTTAGAAACAGCGGCCACAACATGACGCCAACAATGTTACTGCACTGCAATGCAACTGTGCAGCACAACACCTCATTTCAGCTGCGAGGGCCCGTTATTCCTTCAACTTCCTCAACCGGGGCATCGCTTTGTACTTAGGTGTACTTGAGCATAAACCACTGAATAAGAGACATTGCAATTTGGACTGAATGACGGTCAAGAAGGTCAGAAGAAGATTAAAGTAACTGATATTCCTCTTGTGGCGACCATACATATTTCAATCAAATTCTGTCCGATTCCATTGGGCAAAGATATTTCACTGGATGAGTGAATGTTAAGACAAGAATAGAAGAATGTGCATGTTGATGAATGCATACAAAAGCAGTCTTATAAACTTTGATTGCCAAACTCTTGCTTGTCACTCGATTAGCCACAGAATTATTAACTTTATTCACATTTGAATTATGCAAATACTACTGTAAGAAAAAAAATCATGTATTTGTAGCATTTAACACAGTAGTTTAAGAATGATTACCGTTAAAGATTTTGCCAAAGACATTGAAACAGTAGGTGAGCCCTGCGGAGCAACTTTGGCCACAAATAGGATGAACAAGTTTACAGACTAAGAAAATGAATCTGGCTCTCCTGCATGGCGTAATATTCCCACACTGCTTGTGAGAAAGTTTGGAAATAGTCGTACTAATGTGATAACAACGGACCTGCTGAGAGGCTTGAACAGCTGGTGAGTACGACCGTAGGGCCAGAGAAAATCTGAGGAGATTTACTTGAAGATCTGTAAGAAACTGGCCAGCTTTCTTAAGGATCAAGTTGTAGTACGAGCGCACGGATTCTGAGAGAGAAATCAACATTAGTTATTATGAGGTTACAAAGGAGAGAAGCACACGTGTCGGGATCTCAAACTTATTTAAACATATTTTGGTTCGGGTTACCTCCTTGCTTGTATACCGTCAGCTCTTTCACGGTGTCAACAAACTGCCAGAATTTTTCGTTCCCGTCTTCTCCAATAAACTCACTGCATGCAAGGAAAAGGAAATGTTAGTCAGCATCTTTCCAGTAACCAACAACCAATTGAAGCTTTAGACCAGATAGTGATTCTATATATTCAAATTCTGCACAGCCCCGTGAGCCGTGTTTTTAAATTAAAACATGGCTCGGTGTACACTTCATCGTCTCCACTGTGAAGTATCCCACAACCTTAAAAAATAACTCTGTAGATTGCTATAAAACCATATCAAAATAGAAGAATAATGGCGTGTAGTTTTTACCAAAGGATCTGGGGACACCATAAACAGAGAGCTTTACACACAGAGACTCATGAAGAGTTTCAAAAGCAAAATGACTTCTGGCTGCGATACCAGTCCTTTGTGTGTGTGTGTAGTAAAGTTAATCATTAAGGGGCACATGTTTACACAAGTGCTATATCTTTTGGGATGGAATCAGTCAATTTAAGAATAAGGATCCCGTTGCTATTTTAAACCTGGAATAGTTTTATAGAATTACAGGAAAACTGGGCGACAAGAAATCATTTTCTGGATTTCTTTCCTTCCAGGTCCACGCTGTTGCGTCATCTGTATTCTATGGGACATTTCCGCATTTGATTAAAGCAGGAGGATTTCATAGATCCACTCCTGATTTACACATATATTTAGATAAGAAACTATTCCACATCTTGGATTGCAATCCCCGCAGTGTGAATTATTTGGGAAAAGATCATTCAGGCAAAATATAACAGCCATCAATGCAACAAATGAAGGGGGGGAGGGCACAGGCTGCATTAGGAGGGCTTGAACCCATGACCCCGACCTTCACTTCCACAGGCGGGTACCTTGTCTCCAGGAGGAACGGCGTCATGCTCCACTTTGCTGACAGGCTGGCAGTGACTCCCTTGGGTGCAGATAGGACACGATGTATGTTCAGCAGCAGGGAGAGCACAATAAGGTTCCTCATTACTTCTGGCGAGACGTCACGTGAACCTGAAGCAGAGTAAAAAAGAAAGAAAAGAAAAAGAAAAAGGCAACGCCATGAAGTACAGTTGCCTTTGAGAGGTGCCAGTAGGTGCCACGTAGCGGCGGTTACTCCGATTTGGTATCTAACGTTTACTACAAAACCATCACACAAGACGCGAGACCACCGATGCAGAAGATGCCAGCTGCCGTTAACGGCACGTGTGCAAATCACGTGCGACCGTATTTGTTGGCGTGATCTTTATTGTAGAAATAACGTTAGATTGAAAAAGGGGGGTCAGGCACGACGGACTAAACTTGAGATGTTAGAGCCGTAAAGTAAACGGTCTTGTCGTGAATAAACACACGTATCTTTATAGTCCACAAAGACCGTATGCTGGGGGGGAAACGCGTAACGTACGTTAGAAATAACCGTCGGTCGCTGCGTCGCCGCCGGTAATATCCCCTTCACCCCCGTTAGTGATGCCGACCACTTCCATACACAGCGACGGTCTTCCGCTCGGTATTTTGGGCACTTAACAACGGGCGCAGCTATCGCTAGTTGCCGGGTAGCAACGTATTGTGATGGCCGGTCGTGGACGGTCATTCGAGTCTGACAACAACCGTGACGTAAAACAATTATTGTGGCCCGTTGCCATTGTTCGGGTACGATGTGCCACGTTGTCTGAGTGGAACGCAACCAGTACAAATTGAGTGTAAAGTAGAACAAAAATTGCGGTGAGGTTTTAATTCATTCAGGCACAGCGGAAGGCAGCTAAAGAGGCAGACGCTGGAGCTCAAACACTTCCCCACCAAACACTAAAGAGCATGTTACGGAGTAATATCATTTAAAACACGACAATATAACATTCGTTATTATAGATGGATTCAATTTGCATATACATCTATCGATCGAATATGTTTAGGTTATTTAGTATCAGACTTCCATAAAGTTGATGTATTGGTAATAAAAATAAAATTAAAATAAATCAGTGCGCCAAAATGTTACAAACTGCCCCATTGCATTGCATCTTCCATCAGAGCTTCTCCTTCTGCTAAATGCTCAGGGCTCTGGATCTCTATGCACCCAGGTGAAAACCGTCTTTTCAAAGACTGAATTTGACCAAGGAAAGATGACAACTTCAGAGGATCGTCTCCTTCCAGAGCGGAGACATGCATCACAAACCCAAATCTCTGCATTTCATTTAAACTGAAATGTTATGCATGCGGCTGGCCACATGGTATGAATGATCAATTGATAAAAACTAAATCCATGGCACTTCTTAAATAAGTCTAAGGAGTCGTAATGAAACAAGAAAACAGCAAATCTTAAAGATAAAAAAAGATTTTAAAAAGAATAATGGATGAATAGTCAGCCAGATAGGTATAATTACTTTCCCATGTCAATACACAGAACTCCCTCTGCAAACGTCTGACATGAGGATAGTATTTCATCTTTCTAAAGAATGTGTGACTATGGCGAACCATTACTGCTGCAGAGAAAGCAGCATTTTCACTTTTAATTGGCTCTTACTTTTCAGCAGATATTTTAAATTGGCCTATTAAAAAACACTATCTGTGGCTTCACACTGGTAACGCCATACAGCACGGATCCATTCCTCTTATCATGGAAGGCCACACTTAAATTCGCTTTAAATAAAGTAACAGCAAATTCGATGCGTATTTGGACACATTTCCACGTTGTCTCCGTTCAGGCTTCGTGGCAGGTGTTTTATTTGCACTGTGTGAAACAAGATTATGGGCTGGACGGATGGGATGTAGCGCAAACAACACGAGACCATAACGCGCATTGTGTCGGCGTCGGACGCAGCATCAGCATCATCCTCCTCTCCACCGCATCACAGCACCGTCAGTCGGACCGCCGCGGAGGATGCTGCCGGAGGATCGAGCCCGACAGCCCCGCGCCGCGCCACGCTTCCGCCGGAGTCCGTCCAACATCGAAAGGAACCTCGCTGCGCTTTAGACCGGGATCGGCACCGAGGGAAGGGGAGAAAACGAACGAACGGAAACTCAAAACTCAAATCAGCTGGCTCAGTTTGAACTTGACGCCGGATAGAATGGGAGCCGCCGCGCGGAGGCTTTAGAAGTTGGACAGGCACAGATGTGAATGCCACGACTCGGGACTTTTCATTCCTGCGCAGCACAGACGGGGGGAGAAAAAGGGGTTTTTTTTTTTCCATTTTACCGAGGGTTTTCATGTGACCAACTTGGGGCAGGTAATAACCGGCATCTTTAGTGTTTCTGAGCGGGGGCCTTTAGAATATGGATCCCCCCCCCCCCCCCCACCCCCCCCGAAGAAGCCACGGGCGCTGCTTGTTATTCACAGTAATGGAATGAAGAACACCATCTCGATATAATGGATGATAGATCCAGCAAGCTCGTCCTGGCTCCTATTTTAGCTGTACTTTTCGTTATGATAGGCTACCAGTACATCTGTCCCGCCGGCAGCAATTCGTGCTACTTTAAGGCAGCGGAGAAATCTGCCGGCGTGAGCCTGCTTTCCACCCCGTACCAGGACACCGACGATTTCTACCGGGACCAGGACCTGGAGGACGACAGCCCGGCCAGGCAAACGGCCTCGCAGTTCAACTTCACCGAGAGAGACCTGGACAGACACGTGGAGTTCAACATCAAGGGGGACGACGTGATAGTGTTTCTGCACATCCAGAAGACCGGAGGAACCACGTTCGGGAGACACCTGGTGAGGAATATTCGCCTGGAGCAGCCGTGCGACTGCAAGCCGGGCCAGAAGAAGTGCACGTGCCACCGACCCGGGAAAGAGGAGTCGTGGCTCTTCTCCCGGTTCTCCACCGGCTGGAGCTGCGGACTGCACGCGGACTGGACCGAGCTGACGAACTGTGTGCCTGACATCATGGATAAGAAGCGGGCCCAGAGGAATAACAGGTATATGTCTGATTTCCCTTGTGTGTGTGTGTGTGTGTGTGTGTGTGTGTGTGTGTGTGTGTGTGTGTGTGTGTGTGTGTCGTTTGTGAAAGCTGGTTTGCTAGAAATAAGCTCTGTGGCTCCCAAACCACCAGAGTCCCAGAGCAATGTGTACAAACATGAGTCGACCATGAGGAATTCAAAAGTTTTTTTTCTTCTTTTTTTTACCTGCTAATTAACCATGAAGCCGAAATGATCAATTATGTCAGCCAGTGAGATGGGAACAATGTGCATATGCTGATTGACCAAGGGCACGTTATTGCAACCGCTGGGGACAACAGTACAAACTGCTACAACATTAACGACTCTTTTGCCTTGCTTGACCTTCAGACATCTTTTTTAGTCCTTTGTCATCGCATCAGTTCAGCTCACAATGATGCTGCATTTGTTTTCACGAAGAGTTCTCTGAAAACTGTTTGAATTAAAGCAGAAAAGCATGATTTATAGGTTGTGAACGTGTGTGCTGCAGCATACGGGTACGTTAAAGGCTTAGTGGTTGACTTGAATGAGGGTGTCCATCTCTGTAGTCAAAGTGCAATACACCAGAACGTCATTCCGCCCCCTGCATTCTTGGCCGGTGTCGATTTTCCCTGTTTAAGTCTTTTTGTTAACTCAAGAAAACAGGTGCACTAATCTCTGTATCACAAACTTAACGCTTGATCCATCTTATTTGAAGACCACAATATTCAGTGAAGATGACCCGAGAGGAAAGGAGAAGTATAGAAACTTTGATTATCAACATATTTTATTATTATATTTTATGTTATAATTCCTCTAGAGGTAGAGATAGAGATGCAGCACGGTCACTAAAGGGGCCACGTCTTAATTACCTGCTAACTGCCTGAGCAATATGGGTGTGTTGTCAAACAGCAGAATAGATTTGTGTATTTTTCGTTACAATTCGTTTTTCTTGGAGTGAATCAATAATTTCCAAATCAATTGAGGTTAATTATCAAAATGGCCTGTTAAAAGTTTTTTAGTCATTTCCACTAAGATTCGAAAATGTACCAACCAAATGTCACACACGCAATTCCAACAATTCCATCCTCTGTTTTGAAAAACACAATCTTACCCTGAAGTACATGAGCACATGATTTATTTCTGCTGTGCCAAGTGTTTTCCTTTACTTAGGAAAGTGCTCAGTGGAAGCGACAGCTCTTCATCTCACAGCTGCAGCATCTATTCTGCACTTACTAGTCCTCCCATCCCGTGTTCTTTAGTGCGGCATCTATTCTGAGATAATTCGGCCTCGACGAAGACTGTTGGCAGACACACAAAGTTCGACCCCTTCACTACCGACCCACTGCACACGGGACATTCGCTAAGTGAGAAGACTAACTGTTATCCAAAGTTCACCTTCAGTATGATTATGTGTTTGAGCAATTTGTTGCTGTAATTGAGATTTCTAAAATGGTGCAAGTTAAACAACGTACTTTGTAATAAATAATCCACTTGTTACAATAATCCAACACTCCGCCCTGAGGGTGCAATGGGGAATACCAATCGTTCATCACTGCCAATTCAGATGGCTCTCACGTGTTTTATTGCGGGCCCGTGAGCCACTCAGATTGAGTGGCTGTCTTTCAGCCGTCGCCGGCTCTCGCCAAAGCAGCAACGGGGAGGGAGGGGGTGGGCCAAGGTGAGCGGCGATGGCGCCGCCTGCGTGGCATTGTGTGGCCTTTCCAGCGGAGCGGGGGCACTCAAGAGTCGTGAGCCCGGCCGTTGCTGCCCAGGAAAAGGTCAGGCGTGTCAGACCGGATCAGTGTGCGCGTCCCGCGGCGCGGCTCCTCTGGAGTGCGCCGTCAGTCAGGGGAGAAGTGGAGCGAGGCCGCGCTCTTTGGGGGGCTTTTTTTGGAGAAACATACCTCTTAAGTGCTGTCCTCTCGAGTCGCTTGGCGGAGAGCATTGTGGCAGTACCTTGTCTCCTGCACGGTGGGGGGGGGCTTGTTGAGTGCATTGTTTTCCTCTCGGGCAATTTTTAGAGGCCTGAGGAAAGCTGCGAGAATTATTCTTGATTGTTACGTGTTCCTTACCTGAGTGTTTAGTCTGGAGTTATCAAGGTAGATGTATACAATGCGACACTGGGTCACCCAACGAGGCGCTGCTTTTCAAAACTGTGCTGGCGTGAAGCAGGGACCGAGTTTATTGTGTTGTCAGTTTTGCGTTTGTAGTAAACGGTTGTCGGTCAGTCTCAGAGAAATATCTCACATTGCTTTCCATCAATATGAAAATGAACAAACTTTCTAACTTCTATTTATTACCATTGTGGTGCGGACAGAATGTCTTTCTTTGAGATGAGTGTGTGAATGCTGCAGTGAATGATTGTGTGTCTCTATGAATGTGAGGGTGAATGGTTGTGTGTCTCTATGAATGTGAGAGCGAATGGATGTGTGTGTCTCTATGAATGTGAGGGTGAATGGTTGTGTGTCTCTATGAATGTGAGAGTGAATGGATGTGTGTGTCTCTATGAATGTGAGAGTGAATGGTTGTGTGTCTCTATGAATGTGGGAGTGAATGGTTGTGTGTCTCTATCAATGTGGGAGTGAATGGTTGTGTGTCTCTATGAATGTGGGAGTGAATGGTTGTGTGTCTATGGATTTGGGAGTCAATGGTTGTGTGTCTCTATGAATGTGGGAGTGGATGGATGTGTGTGTCTCTATGAATGTGAGAGTGAATGGTTGTGTGTCTCTATGGATGTGGGAGTGAATGGTTGTGTGTCTCTATCAATGTGGGAGTGAATGGTTGTGTGTCTCTATGAATGTGAGAGTGAATGGTTGTGTGTCTCTATGAATGTGAAAGTGAATGGTTGTGTGTCTCTATGAATGTGAGAGTGAATGGTTGTGTGTCTCTATGAATGTGAGAGTGAATGGTTGTGTGTCTCTATGAATGTGAGAGTGAATGGTTGTGTGTCTCTATGAATGTGGGAGTGAATGGTTGTGTGTCTCAGCCCTGGGATTCACCGGGGACGGGTCCAGGGTGAACGCGCCCCCGTCTCTCGCCCGGTGCTTGCTGGCGTTGACTTTGCCCCCCGACCCTGTAAGGATAAGTGTTATAGAAGATGACTGACTCACTAATTACTTTATTCAGTTTAATCAAACAACGTTTGTACCAGCAAAACGTATTTAAAGGTCCCCAGCAGATGAAATCATTATGAATATTTAATATGTCACATTGGTATTCATACATTAACTGAGGTGACAACATTCTCTCCGAGCCCTTTGGTTTGTTTTTAAATTAAAATCGGTCATTTATCACATATTCTTGAGCTTTCAATCGCGTGTATTAACTCTATACCCCCCTAACAACATTTTTGTTTGCAATACCTTTTACGACACATGGTGAGCATGATTTCTATCAGTCACCATTCATGTATAATGATATACACACACAGACACGCGCAGGCATTTGTCAGTGTGTGGCGCTCGCACCAGGGGACAGAGAGCGCGCGTCCGTCCAAAGCGACTGCCCCCCCCCCATCACTTCTACTCAAAAACACATCCTGCCACTCAGTGTTGGCAGAAATTCAAGTTCGGAATACAAACCAAATTGACGTCAGGACATGAAGTGAAGCGGCCGACACTGTAGCAGAGTTCCGTGCCTCCTCCACTTGGCAGGTACATGAATTCACGATTCGGTTTAATATGCATTTTTCAGTCTTTTTCAAGTATTAGGTATAGTGCTAACATCCTCCCCCTCACCCCCGCCCACCGTTTCATTTCCTATTAGCTGTCTCCCTTTTAAGCCCGGCCTCATGGTAATTTCATGCAGATGCTGATGTTGTAGTTTTCATCAATTATAAAATCTTCATTAGCGGCTTTCTGGTTGCTTATGCATAATGAATGCTGAAGTACAAAGAGACCAAACCCCAAACATGACTACAGCACGGTCGCTCTGCCATACTCTCCTTTGATGAGAGGGAGAAGGGAGAGAGAGAGATGTGCCTATGTAATGACAATGGATGTCCTCTGCTGTGAATCTGGATAGTGAACTTTAGATCACTGTGTCCTCGAGGTCACATGTTATGTGCACTGAAAAGTCTCCGTAGTTTACAACAACAAAATCCGGCAACTACTTTCTTTGGATTCTTGGATAACCCTAAGCCTAATCATATTACTAGCTGAAGGCTGTTTTCTCAAACATTTCGTATTGTAGTCTAGCTGTACCAAGCCGTGGTTTAAAGGCTCCTTTGCAGTGCTCATAGACTCTGTGAATGGTGCGTAATTCGAAATGTTTAAAACTTTTATCCACAGTCATAAAAATCACATATTCACATTCCCTGAACTTCTACAACAATCCTACTAGTAGACTGTTATTAATTACATGGCACACCAATGACGTGACCCAGTCCTTTGCAGAAGAAACACCACACATCTTTTTTCTACGCATCAGCGATGCAGAGAGGGCTGCAATGAGTGCGTGGCCAGTACCACTTACAGCCAGGATCATTCACCCATGCACGTCTCACTCTATCTGCATTCCTTTAGTTATTCTGGATGGAGATTATACAAAGGGAGAAGGTGCATCCAATACTTCATGACAAGACATTGACCACAAAACAATTTTATCAAGTACCAAATCGTGCACCTCTTTCATCTGATGTCTAATGTTTTTTTCCTTCTCAATTCAGCTTCATGTGGTTTGAACACGACGTCACTAGAGATGGTGACGTCTGCACACCTTGTCTTTGCAGTATTCTTCTTTACAGACTGGTAAAAGGTTTGGTCTCACTAGCTAATTTCTCCCTTCATGATAACTGTACAAAGTTTCAATTTTAATAACAGTAACAGTCTGTTAGGTGTGACCTCGGATAATTACAGCCACTAAACCTGACCTCTGTGGATGACGCCAAGTAGCCATCGTGCTTGTTTTATGCAGCCTGTTGTTCTCTCTCACTGCCGCTTACATGTTCTAATTATCCCACTGTACGCAGCGCCAAATATAGCAAAACTGTGGAGCATTTT